ACTAGTTTGAGCTTTGGTTTCATCATTTGGCTTGGATTTTGCGGACTTTCACTTACAGCCTTTTTTGGAGAACTTTTCTTTTTATTTATTATTAAAAAAATTGAAATTTGTTTTAAAATTAAAACGCAAAAAGTAAAAATAATCAATAAGTCTGATTTGATTAAAATACACACAAAAAATACTCCAAATGTGAAAACAATCACAAAACCGAAACAAATCAAGAAAATTATTGTTAAAAATGTTAAATGATAATGTTAAGTAAATAGAAAAATGAAATTAAATTTTGCGTTCAGTTAATTTTGTTCATCGAGTATTGAGATTAGCATTAGTTGAAGAAATCTCGAGTGACAAAACCAGTTAAGTTAATTAATAGACAAACATTTACTAGCCTAAATTTACATAACATACAGAACCCCACATTAATTAGACTTTCATACTAATCAAACAAGTGTTCCAATCTCAGATCACAAAAGAGTTGCTAAATGGCTGGAAGAACATTCTGATATAAGTCTTTCAAATTTATTGGAAAACTGTCCCTCAACCTACTTTGAAAAGGTTTATAAGCTATTTTAATTAAATTTGCAAGCATTTATAACTTAGGAGATTTAAAAATGATGAAGCCACGAGAAAACGTTGTCCTTTCGTAATTCTTTAAATTTCTTTATTATTTCAGCTTTTCGGAATGTTTACATTTGTTTAAATCCTAGAATAGGACTTATTTAATATTTTTGTTACAAATTATTTGTTTAATCTTACTCTTTTGTGACTTAATTAATTAAATTTGTTGAATTTCTATTTTCTTCGTTTTTTGTCTATTTCTGAACTCACTCTGTGCAGTTTTGAATTTGTAAGGTTTTGTAGTTTGAAATATTTATGACCGTTAAATCATTCTTAAGTTTTCTTTATGATTTTCTATTTTATATGGCATATTTCATGGAATCTTTGATTGAAATGTATGGAACTGACTTTAATTAATATCTTTAAATTTGTTTTTTGTATATCATCTAAAATAATCCCGTGCTTATATAAATTGAATCTAATATTTAATTTGATTTGTAATTAGAAAATCTATAAAAATATTCAATAAGAATAAATTGTCCTTTAAATGAGCTTTAAGACATGCCATATGTTGAAAAGACATGCTGAATCATTTAAATGTATTTAAATTTAGAATCATTTAATATTTTTTGTACATTTTCTGTATTATCAGCAGCGTGTCATCATAACACGAGCGTTTAATTGCTGTCTAAGAATATTTATAAAGCAATGACATTTTCTATTTTTTTGAAAGACTTGATGAAAAACAGAAGTGACTTTTCTATCTAATGAATTTAACAAACATTGGCTATTTTTTGCTAATTTTTGTGGTAAATTGTGAAAAAATCATCAAACCTGTAAAAAGAAATGAGGCAATTGATTCAACAACACGAGCAATTTGTGACATTGTTGAAGTTTTTTATGCAAAAAATCAGATGAGATTTGATGTTGTGATGAGTCAAGAGCTAGGAGGAAATTTTATTGACATTTGCTCCAATTTTATGATGAAAAATGAGGAAGAATTTTCATATGAGTTTAAAATACTGACGAATGGTCACTTATATCTTGATAAATCAGCAGTTTTATTTTTAGAGTCAATCATAGACTATAATTTGTTGCACATTCGATATAAAATAATCAACCAGCATCCAAAAACATTAAAATTTTTGATCTACATTGATAATTGTAGTCTAAAATACTTTAAAGACAATCTTGTTTATTTTGTAAATACTCAAAAGGTCACATATACTTCCGGAAAGCTTTCAATCTTTGAATTTGTTCTCATTAATGATGGAAATTTCCTTTATTTTGCTGCCGTTGAATGGTTTACAGATGCAGCATGCAATCAACCACAGTTAACAGTTTTAAATTCATTCAACAAGATGAAACAAAAGTGGAACAAAAATTTAGAAATTTATGAAAAGTTTCAAGACTTTTATGGTTGTGAATTAACGTTGGGTTTGACGTTTCATGGAGGAACTTGCTGGGGATCATTTGCTAATTCATCAACTCCAGGAGAAACGATGCAAGTCACAGGATTAAAACCAAATATTTTCAGAATTCTCTCAAGTAAACTTAACTTTAATCCAGTCGTTAGACTATTACAAAATGAAACTGTCCCACCGGATGTGTATTTTGATATTGTAAGACTTTCGTCATTCTTAAATGGATTTCTTCACATGACAGCAAGTTTTTTGGAAGTTCAGGATATAGTTTTGATAACACCTGGAGACTTGTATTCACCATATGAGAAGTTATGGCTTCCATTTGATGATGCAACATGGACATTATTGCTGCTTACATTTTTAATTGCTTTCATTGCTATATTTATTATCAATCGACTTCCAAAGTTTTTTCAAGAACAAATTTATGGTGAAAATATTCACACACCAGCACTTAATGTCATGAGCACATTTTTTGGCATCAATCTATCCAAATTACCAGAGAAGAACATGCCACGCTTTATTTTTATCAATTTTGTTTTCTTCTGTCTGATTTTCCAGACATGTTATCAAAGTAAGTTGTTTGAATTTATGACAACCGAGCCAAGACGTCAATCACTTAAGACCATTGAGGAATTAAAGGATGAGAATTACACTGTGTATCATACATTACCTGTTGATTATGTAGAAGAACTGATTGCAAGCGAGAAAAATAATTGGTAAGTCGGTAAGCTTTAATTTTACTATGCTATGATTTAAGCCAGAACTCGAAGTCGAAAGGTTCTTTATTTTTTCGGAGTCAACTCCCATCCGACTCGAGAAAATGAAGTCGACTCGAGTTGACTTCGAGCTCTGATTTAAGCCAAGTCGTAATTTTTTGAACCGAAAGTCTTGAATTTTTATAAAATGTCCTTTGTCCCGTATTTGTTAAATTGTGTTTTTTATGTATTTTAAGGCCACAAGTCACTGGGATTGATGAAGCAGACTTCATAACAATTCTTTCAACTCAATCACAAAATGCGTCAGCAAAACTTGCCCTCATTATTCAATCAATGAGTCTAAAGATTTATGAGCGATTGACACGACAGACCCTCAATTGGAATGAAATTCCAAACTACTCATTTCAAGTCAGTCAATCTGGATTTTCATTCATGCCAAATAATTTTTTTTATGAAAATATGGACAAAGCTACTCAGCAACTTACATCAGCTGGAATGATGGAACATTTATTTGAAGATTGTTTTCCATCAACAAAAAATATAGTTATTGATGATCACTGGTCAGTTTTAACTATTGAAAGTTTGAGCTTTGGATTTGTTATTTGGCTCGGATGTTGTGGCATTTGTGTTATTGCTTTTATTGGTGAAATATTTTTTTGGATTTTACGGAATAAAATTCAAATTTTTAGCCATAAACTTAAATTTCTAAAGATAAAGCAAGCAAAAGTTTATCCTTTGCTATCAAAAAGTAAGGAAATTCAGAAAAAGTATCCGAATGATAAGAAAATATTCAACAAGAACACTTGTGAAATTAAAGATCTTGAATTTGAGTCAGAATTGACTAAAATTATTAAAAATGAAATTTGTCTAATGTAAAATAATCAAGTATTATAAAGTCATTAAAAGTCATCAAGTAGTTTTCATTATCAAGTACATTTGTTTATTTCAGAGATCGAAGCCGATTTTTTCGGCTTAACTCAATTCGGCTTAAATTTCGGCTTAAAATCGGCTAAATTGAAATTCTGAGCTCACTATAGCTACATGCTGAAAAAATATTTTACAGAATCATAGTAAAGCATGTAAAGTTCAATTTAAATACTTAAAATGGGTGTTAAATGGCTTTTCTCTATCAAAAAAATCAAAAATTGAGTTAAGCCGAAAAAATCGGCTTCGATCTCTGGTTTATTTTAAGGTTCTGCCTTTATTTAGGCACTTCTCAAAATCTGTCCGTATTGCACCGTTCCATTAAATCCAGGTAATGCAGTTTAAGACATGTCTAAGAATTAGCCGATGTGAGATGGAGGAAAGGGTCAAGATTTATGTAGACAGAATGAGAAAGATACGAGAGCCGTAAATTCACCCTGAAGGGCTTTTACTGGAACGCACCTGGAGACATTGTGACTACTGAAAATTGGAACGAGAGCTGACATGAACACTAGTTTTAAGATTTAAAAACAGTTTTTATTTGGCTGCTGGGCACACAACTGCTTAGTGAAGATTATGCGCTACAAACTGAGCTAGCGTACTTAATAAGTATTTAAGAATTAATATTAAGAATAAAATTGTAGCGTTTAAAGCTTAGTAACACTGTTGGACAATTTAAAATGAATAAATTGAAATTGAAATTGAATTTCAATTGTTTGTCCTACGTCCAAGTGCACGTGCTCCTAGTAACAATTTGTAAATTTGTGCAAAAGACATCCAGATCGAGTTTAAAGGTGTAATTCATCTTTAAGGAAGCACACATAGCTTTTTATATTTGCGCAATTCCCGATTACGAGTTACCATTGAGGCACTTCTCACGCTCTCCTCTTGTCTATATATTCAAACCTGCTTACGAACCAATAAGTATAGAAAGATTGAAATGTATGTCTTAAATTAGAAACTTGAATACAAATTGTCAGATAATTTTGTACTGTTTTTGAGAATCTATGGTTGTTGGAAGTTGTAAGTTTGTTAATGAGTAAAAATTCTAATTGTTCATGACCTCCTTTAATCAAAGATCCGCATCGATCCCCGAATGTTGTGTTATCCTTTATTTATAATGCAACTATGCAAAGAATTTTTTTTGACACGAGTCGTGTTGAAACTCAAAATTAAGCAGTTTTTTTTGCATAATTTGTTTCGATCTTAAATATTGATATTGAAAATAAATTAGCAGTAATTTAACAAATCAGTAAAAGCCAAGACCTTAAAAAATTAAAACAATTCGCAAAGCTATAAGAACTTTTAAGTAAAAAGCCAGCTAAAATTTTAATAATTTTTATAAAGTTTTACAATTCTATTAAATATTATATGTTGACAAAGATTTAGTCACTGAAACTCCTCCTGACTAATTTATTTTTTTACATTCTTGCATCCAATGTATTTTAGTAATGAATCATTTCCCGAGCGACAATTTGTGGCAGTGGCAGTTCTGAGACTGCCACCACACTGCCTTGAAAAGATTAAAGCAGTTGTAAGGCAGTTTTACTTGTAACTGCCTTGTAACTGACTTATAGGCGCCATGTGACTACCTTGCGATTAAAATGCGACTGCCTTGTGATTATCATGTGACTACCTTGCGATTACCAAGTAACTGCCTTGTGACTGCCATGTGGCTGCTACAATAACAATAGAGTAGAACAAAAGAATTTTTTCATTGTTACATCATTTGTATCATATCGTTTAACGTGTTAGGTTCGTCAGTTAATTAAATAATTAAAAAGAGTCAATTAAAAGTGCTGTTTGGACTTGAAATATTACAAGAGACGTCGATATGGAAGCCATCAGTGATGTAAGTAATTCTAAAGTGCTTAAATTATTGTAAAAATAAGAATTTTTCCAGTTAAAAGCACGCAACTAATCGATTTTGTTGAGCATAAGCTAAGTTTATTTGACAATCAAGCAAATTTTGATCCTGAATTTGAGAAACAGCGTTGTAATAATAATAGTTGTAACTTGGTATGTATTATTATATATTTCTATTTTAGCATAGCTTAACAATTCGATTGTTATTTTAGGTGGGTTATCTATCAAAACGCATGGTAAATGATAATGCAAAAGGTGACCCGAAAAATGGGCTAGCGATCTCTCTACTAAAGCTGTATTTTTCTTCAGACTTCTTTTTATCAGATGTTGGATGGCCCAATTATGATGGTATTATTAATTGATTTCATTTTAAAGATACTTTTATAATGAAATATTTTTTTCTTGATTTCCTTTTCAGGTCGTGTTGAGATTCGTAACAATCTCGGACATATTTCTCTTTTGACGTCATTAAAGCACACACCGAAGGAATTTACATCAATTTAGATGATGCAAAAAAATTTATTCAATACGCAATCCGCTTTTTTTCATGAAGACCACAATGAAATTGTTCGTAAAATGAAGAAGGCTGATTCAAAAGCTAACGAAAAAGTTTAATATTGATATTTCTTATCTTAATTTGTTTTTGATTATAAAAAATTGTAATAAACTCCTAACTGAAATCCAGATTTTGAATTTTGATTTATTTTTGTAATTTTATTTCAGATTTGTCAAGGCAATTTTGTGGCAGTATTAAGGCATTGTTGTATGTCGATCATACAGCTGTCGTGTGAGTGCCACCTCGTCAACTTCAAGGCGATTACAAGGCAAGTCGGTTACAAGTCAGTGGCAGTTTCAAGACAGCCTTGCGCGCGGAAATATGGAGGTCAGGAGTTGCCATCAAGGCAATAAGGCAGTCGTATGACGATTATCGATCTGCCTTGACTTAAGGCAGTTGGCAGTAGGCAACGACTTATGACCACCTTATGGCTGCAATAAAGCGGATAAATGTCGCTCGGGTTTATCTTTTAAATCTAGTTTAGCTTTTGAAGTTTAAAATTATTTTCATAAGTTACTTGAATTTCATCTTCTCGCATTCTCTAGCCCAATATTGCATTTGTTGAGCATCGAGTGCTAAACTTTCTCTTTTCAACTTTTGCAATTCAACTTTTTTGTTTCTTTTAAAGAATCCACAATTCTTGAGACCCCATAACAATAAAATGAACACAAGTATGCCAATTACTCCTGACATGATAAAAACCTCCAATGGAACTTTTACAATAACGTTCTTATAAATAATTGTTTGTGGATTTTTGAATGTGACGTTAAAGGTTTGCGTTGTATTATCGTCACCAATTCTGTTGAATTTGATATTTGTTTTATAAATGAAAACACTTTTGCTGTTTACAAAAATTCTTTCTACATCAGAAAAAATAATCAAATTATTAATTTTTTGTATATTTTATAATTTATATAAAATAAAGAAAACTTACCAAACTCATGTAAAATGAATGAATAATTGAAATTTATAATAATTGGCTCATTTTCAGTTTGAAAGTCTTCAACGACAAACTCTACTTTTATGCAACCTTTTTTGTCATCAGATTGCATGCAGTCAAGGACAATTGTTCGATCAGATTGTAAGTTTTCTGAATTATGTTCTGTTGAATCGTTGAGATTGAGTTTGTTGTCGTAATTCAAATTAGAAGAGCCTTTGGAGTCTACACTGCGCTTTCTGAAGTGAGATAAATCAGGTTCCAGTTCTTGATGATTTAATTCATAGTTGAATCCTAATGTTGAACTGTCGAAATCAATTCCTTCTTTATTTTTATTTGAAAAATTTGAAATAAATTCCAATTTAGTCCAGTTGACTTCTAATTGCTTATTTTTGTAGGAAACAGTTAAATTCGCATCACCATCAAATTCAATAATTTTGACATGATTGTAAATAGCTAAGTCATACATTATAGGAATTTGTAGAGTAATTGATAGTTTTTTAATATTACTGGGTCCATAATTAAATATTTGATAGTTGTAATTAACGATATTCTGTATCAAAGTGTCACTTAAATGTATTTCAGGTGATGAACTTGTACTGCAAAATTAGAGTCCAATATGAGTAACTTAATCAAAATTTTTAAAACATTTAAAATGACTCACCTACTGACAGCAATTTCACTAAGTTCAGTCAATACAATTTTAACAATGCTTATATTATCCAGCATCTTTGTCTCATTTCCAATACTTGACACTTTTGCCTTAATCTCGAACAATTTTCCATCGAGTTGAGTCACATCAATGATAACTTTCATATTTAAAGATGTTTGATTAAAAATTGGCTTTTTGTTGTTAATGTCACAATACATGATATTATTTGCAATATTGCATGATGTTGGAAGTCGTGAAAATTGTGTCAGATTTGAAGACATTTCGATTGTTAGCTTTGTAGAGTAAGCAGGCTCACCAAAATTGTCAATTTTATAAGTAATAGTAATTGTCTTTTCACTACCGAGAATAAAAGGTTGCGAAACATTTTGTAGAGTTCCAATTATTGATAAGTCTACCTTACAATCTGTACTGTTGCATCCAGTCGAAAATGCTATTTCTCTTCTAAGTGATTTCGGATCTTTTAAGTCAAGCATGACGCATGTTTTACAAAAATTTGAATCATCTTTGTTTATTTTGTCGACAAGATCATAATCAACTTTTATTTCAATCGGCCAAAATATTTTTGTTAAAACTGTTTTAATATTTAGCTTATAATTGATGCATTTGTCATTCTTTGATAGTATCAAAGTTTCAATTATTATAGTTCTATTTGTACCAATTTCTGTCACTCGCTTGAAGATCGGATCAAGAGTTAAAATCATTTTGATTTCTGTATTTAAAAATATTTAAAAGTAATTGCAAAATAGGTTTAAATTTTGTAAAATTTACTTACTTATAGCCATATCCACCTTTGATTTACTTGAATATTTTGCACAAAATGACGCATTTATAGTTTTGCTATCAATATTCAGAAAATGTTTAGATAAATTCAGTATACTATTAATTCTAATGATTGGATATGATCGATAGATAAAAACAACTTCTGAGTTTGGTGCACCAATAGCTACATCATTGAATCCATTCCCATCAATGTCAATTCCATGTGATAATCCAAAACCAAACATTGGTTTAGTAAAAGATTCAGCATATTCATTTGGATCGACTTTTGGTGCTTGAATTTTCTGAATTGGAGTTGGTGATATACCAAGAGAACGTCCAAAATAAAGATAGGCAGCTCCATCTTCTTCAAATGGCGCCGAAATCAACAAATCATTGTATCCATCAAGATTTACGTCACCAAGTTTTGAAATTGACATTCCAAACCTTCCACTTCCTTTAAAACTTGACTGAAGAATAGTTGGTGACTTAAATTTCATCTTATAGAATGAGACCATATGTATAAGTCATAAGAAATGAATAAGAGACATTAATAAAACTTACATTTCCTATATTGATAAACACATAGACAGCTCCGTTATCATGAAGCTCATCGTTGGTGTAAAATGGTGCTGATACAACAATATCTGGCAATCCATCATTATTAAAGTCCTCACACATCACAGCATACCCAAAATATTCACCATATTGCGAACCATGTATTTTTTTCCGAATTAAAAATTTCTTTTCAGGCTTCGTGTTATTTGTTATTTCAAAAATGTATACTAATCCACGATGATTAACTCTAGGTGCTGATGCAATATAATATGTTTTATTTGTGCCTAAAATTTTTGCTGAACTGACGGAATAGCCAAAGTATGAATAACCGACTATAGATAATTTAAATAAGCTTGCATTGACGACATCTGCCTCATAGTCGATTGTATTGAAGACTTGTTCTTTATGAAGTGATTGACGAATAATAGATCCTTTCCAGTTATATATACCAGGACATCCAATAATTATTTCATCATCATTTTCAGTCATATGGACACTAAAGCCACTTTCACCGTATTTATAATTGTAATAGCTTATTTTGTCATCGACTCTATTTTGTTCATCAAAAAATCTGAGTGCACCAATTTTTGTATAATTTTCAGGCTCTCGACTGACTGTATCATTAACCCATGAACATAGTCCATGTAGATAATAGTTTGCTGTTTCATTTATTTTTAAAGTTTGAGATAAAGCTTTTAGATGTGGTGCACAAATGACAAATTTATTACTTTCAGATCCTCCACCATCCATTGAGAATCCAAGCAGTTGGAAATCTTTTGTTTCGGAATCAATGACTTTTTTATTTTTATACTTACTTACATTGACAAATTCTTCACTCTTATCAAAAATGTATTCATAACATGACTCAATAGTTACATTTCTGCTAATCTCACATTTTAATATCGCTCCAGGTTCCTCTGTATGTTTTTGTTTCTCAACAATTGGCTGTGCCCGTGGTGCACTGATGATGATATGAGACTTTCTGAGATTTATTGAGAATCCAAAGAACGATGATCTTTCTTGTCTAATGTAATCTTTATATTTTAAGAAGACTTCTCGTTTGGATATTATGATATTTGGAACTGGAGAAAGATTAAATGCTGTGATAAAATTTATGAGAAAGATGAGTAAAAAAATTTGATCTCGCATGTTTTTGGGATCAGCTTGCTACTTAGCAACTCTTTTCCTTATATATTCACTTTTTGGTCCAGAAAGCACACAGAAAATACACAAGATAGCTTTAATTTAATATTTTAAGGATACATTCACAATGAATGAATGAATGTTTAAACCCCAATGTTTAAAATATAAACTCAGCTAAATAAAAAAGATAAACTACAGATAAGTTTATAATTCCTCATCAGTTTATTTTAAATCTGAGCTCGAAGTCGACTGGAGTTGACTCGAGCCGACTCGGGTTTTTTCGAATCTACTCAACTTTTCTCGAGTCAACTTCATTTTTTTGGAGTCTACTTCGAGTCGACTCGAGTCTACTTCGAGCTCTGTTTGAAATGAATAATTGTTTTTTTTTATGACTTGATAAAGCATATAAAAACTGACTTTACATAAATTTTTAAATGTATGTTTGTGTGTAGTGCAGAATTAAGATTTTTTTCCAATATTCGTACAAATTGTAAACACGCACATTTGATTCAAGGCGCCCGCAAATTATAATCTAAATTTCGAGGATTTGATAAGATTTTTAAAAAACTGAAGGGGATAATCCAAAATCGAGGATAATCCACTTTAGTGAAACTTGCAGAATGATTTCAATAAGAATAAAAATTCTGGCTTGAAATATTTTAAGAATTATGATAATTTATTGCAAAATCTAATGTTTGAAAAAAATACAAAATAAATTGTTCTCACATTCTCTTAACTAGGCTATTAGGGCCTAGTAGGGCACCCATTATTAGGGTTTAAATTTGATTACTATTTTTTAAATAATTGTAAGACGCAAGTAGCCATAATGTTTTTAAGGCCAATCCTACTCCAAAACTTCACATGGCATCACAAACCCCCTCAAACTCGTAACCACCTTACTTCATACCTGACACCCACCTCCCACCTTGCCATCACTCTCTAAATCATTGTCTTCATACAATTTCACAAATGGCTTTACACGGCTTGCATTCTAGAGTCAGAGAGGGAATTTGGTATTTATGTTATAAATGGCTTATCAGTTTGCTTTTTTCCCACGATTTTTTTTAAAATTTTATTGAGTTTGGAATATTAAATATCATCAAACCTTGATTTCCTTTTTCTGGAAAAATTCCCAAAAAAAAATATTTCCAATTGAATTATTTTACAAACTTTAGTTACGTCGGACGTAAATCAAATAATGAAAATTTTAAATCATTTATTTTTTCATATTTTATTTTCAATTTCAATTTCAAAATCAACAACATTATCTCCATCATTTGTTGATGCAATTTCTGGCGTAATTGAGGTCTTTTTTGTTCGACAAAATATTTCATTTGACATCATAACTTTTGGTAAAATAACTTCAGACATTGCTGACGTCATAAGTGAAATTGGAAGGCAACAGGACAAAAAATTAATTTTTTTACTGGATATTCGTCATGTCAGGTATATCGAATTATCGGATTTAACCTTCAATCAGTCATCTATAATTATAGCAAATCAATAGCATATTGAGACTATTATGTTTCATGCACGATTCACAAATCGATTTCCAAAAGATTTAAAATTTATAATATGCTTAAATGATTTTGAAGATTTTGAAGATGAGAGGCAGTTAAGGATGAAAGAGCCAAAGATGTCACAGATTTTGTATTTTTTGGTAGATCGGGAAATGAAAATTGATTTGATGACTTACAATTATTTTGGTGGAAATAATTGTAATAAAAAAACAATTATAACTCTTAACTCATTCAATAAGAGAACTAAAGGATGGATGGAGAAGCTTAAACCTCACAAAAAGTATAATAACCTCCAAAATTGCATTGTAACAGTGAAATCTAGTCTTATTTACTATAATCGACGTCACGATGAAAAGTTCACAGGATTTATTTTTGATTTCATGGATTGCGTTGGAAAATTCAAAAACTTTAAAGTTCATCGCTTGCCAAATGACTTGAGCATTAATAATCTCAAAAAGACCAAAATTAAGATTGTTTTGCGAACTGATGTGTATTTAATAATAGATTCATTGTTAGGTATAATTGATGAGGATTTTTACATAACCTCAACATTCACCGAAGACATTAATAGCTTTATTATTACACCTGCTGAGTCATATTCAAGTTATGAAAAGATTTTGTTACCATTTGATTCAGCAACTTGGTGGATGATCTTGATGACATTTATAGCTGCATTTACTGTAATTTTTTTTGTAAATTGCTTTTCAAAATCAAAGCAAAATCTTCTTTATGGAGCAAATATCAAAATGCCAGCTCTGAATGTTGCAAGAATATTTTTTGGAATTGCCCAGGCTCACACACCAAAAGAGACATTTTCTAGAATTATTCTACTTGTTTTCACACTTTATTGCTTAGTAATTAGAACAGCTTACCAAGGCGTATTTTATGAAATGATCACAACAGATATGAAACGAGACTTACCATTGACATTGGATGATCTATTTGCTAGGAACTATACAATTTATGTACAAAAAGGTTTTGGTGGACCAGAACATTTTATCGAGACTGTGAAAAGAACTAGAGGGTAAGTTTTATATCAAATAAATTTAATTTTATAAAACAAAATCAGAGTTGTAATCTGTCACAGGCAATATCTGTGACAGATGTGTCAACTGAACCTGTGGCAGGTGAACTGCTTCGCAACTCTGAATAAAATCAGCAAAATTCTCTTCCAGCTTTCTTACAAACATTAAGAAAATAAACGGTTCTGTATTTCTGACTGAAATCCTTTGTAATGAGTTTTTCCGGGGATCATCAAAAAAAGCAGCTTTCTCAAATGTTTTTGTCCTTGGATACAGTGCGGCTATGTGCAAGCAAACGCCATTGATGCTTAAAGAAGTTTATATGACATCATCGATTGGAATCACAGTTCCAAGGAACAATTTTTTGTATCAATCAATTGAAGAAACAATGCAGCTTTTACTTCCAGCTGGAATTCCACAGTATTTATGGAAATATCACTATCAATATTTCTATCAAATACCTCAATACAAGGAACTACATTTTAAATATCCGCATGTACTGACTTGGAATGAACTTTCCTTTGGATTTGTTTTGTGGTTTGGATCTTGTGGAATTGCTGTTGTTTATTTTGTTGCTGAATGTGTTAAATTTCATTTTTTTAGAAAATTGCTTAACCACATTGTTAGTCATGGGTTTGTGAAGTTTATAAAAGACTTAAAGTTAAAATACATAATGTAGCTTTGGTTTGATTAATTAAAGTGGTTCTGAATTGAAAATGTCTTTAAACTATTGTAAGTTCTTAATAAAATAACATAAAGGTTTGCGTCTGTTAGTGCATTAGATTATGAAGTTACAAACAATTATTGAGGAGCTTTGGTTTTAAAAATGTATAAAAAGCCCACACTGGCAAAAAATCAATATTGTTACTTAATCCTTACTCGCTGAGTTTTAATAACGTTTCTTAAAATTTAAAAAATTGCAGCTCGATCTTAAATATTCTTAGTTATGTTGTTTGACTAGACGAATAAACCACTGGGTTAAAAATGATCTCTTCAGTATGAATTGAATCAATCCCAGGCCATGTCTAATTTTCGTAGCTCTTTTTCCATTTTACCGTTCTAGTTACGAAGCTCGGTTCGTGTGTTGGGTGTAGTATTGATGTCTTTGGCATAGAATATGCCTCCTTTGCTAGGTATACAAGGATATACTAGCATCTGGATGACTTCCTTACGGCATCTTGCGCACACGGATTGTGACTAGGTACATTGCAGGGTACATCAGGTCTTATGACGTACTCGTGTCTTTGCAATGTACAGAGCTTGCAAGTGGTTCGGATCCCACTATAAACTGTAGGTCTAAAGGGTGTGGTACAATAGATTCTGTTCAAATTTGAATCGCAGTGCCTCCAGCTGAAAGGCTGGGCCCTTCACACATTATATGAATTGAATGGTTTCTTGTGCTTTCGTTTCAAGGACCTGTCTCAAGGATACTGAATACTTACTTTCTTGGCTGGGGCGCACGTGGGCCCATTGCCGCTATCTTCATCATTAGAAACCTTCTGCCAGTTCGGGATATAAAGGACTCTAGCGTCTTTATCAACACATCAAATTCACGAGATCTTCGGTCTTCCTTGTGATCTCTTGCTATCCATAAAGTCTGCTCCTGTCATTTTTAGTACTGGGATACCGAATATGATCTACTTTAAAGCCTGTTTTTGTAAAACGCTTTGATCTATTTTAATTTTTGGCTTATTTAAGTAGCTATTTGAGTTACTTCCTCTTTAAAATAAATAAAAACTTGAATTAATATTTATGTATGAAGCTGAGAGCCTCCTCCTTCGGAGGATATGAAAGAGCGATATCTCGAATACGGTTTTGGTCATAGATACGACTAAAACTATACTGAATTTCGGTTTTTTGTTCTGGTGCAGCTTAAATATGAATTTACTGATATATGCTTGGAAATTGAACTTAATTTATCAGTTCACAAAGATCCCAAAACCGCAGTTTTAACCTTCACTACTGCAGATTCAAGTCAAAAGTACGGATTTATGGTTTTCCATGAACCGCATCCAGAAACCCATAATTAAGTATAGCAAAAATAACCGACAAAAAAACATTTAAATCTAATTTCGAACAAAACGTTTTTAAGGTTTATTTTCCAATTTCTGTTCAACTTTTTAAACCGGGCAGGTCAATAACAATAAAAAGTTTCTATAGTTCTATATTTTATATTATTTTTTGCTATGCAATTATTTTATAAATATTTGATAATAATTTGCATTAATATAATTTGTTACTATCGATCAATTGACGGAGATTTTGTGTTTGATGACTCAGTGGCAATTCTTAAAAATCGTGATGTTTACGAGGGCCAATTTAATAGAAAAACATTTGAGGTAATTTTTCTTCCAATTTTTATGAAATTTTAAGGATTTTTGAATGAAAAGGTGCAAAATTAAGATTTCTATATAAAGTGCACAATATTGTTTAAATAATTTGTTAAATTTAATAAAATAAAAGCAATTTAATTGCATTTTTAAGAATATTTTCATCCACAATGACTTCTGGGGCAGTAACATAACAATGAAGGATTCCCACAAGAGCTACCGTCCGCTTACAACTCTAACATTCCTCATTGAACGACATATAAACAATGGACTCGACAGTCGTTCCATGAAACTTGTAAATCTTATTATTCACATAGTCAATTGTTGTCTACTTTTGAACTTCCTTCATGCAATATTGAATAACAGACAAACGGCATTTATTGCAACAGTTCTGTTTTGCGTTCATCCAATCCATACTGAAGCTGTGTGCGGAATTGTTTCGCGTTCAGATTTAATGGCCTGTTTTATATTTCTAATGTGTGGAATTTTCTATTTTTATGTCTTTTATAAAGGTAAGCTTATATAGTTATTGATTTGTTGTAGATCTAAATAATTTTTTAACTCAAATCATCTTCAATTTTCAGACGGTACTGCTGTAAACTTTAGTTATTCGCTCATCTATTTAATAATTATAGGATTAATGTCGTTTATAGGAATTTTATTTAAGGAAAATGCAGTCATGATTATGGTAAGCATTAAATATGTCCTAAAAGATGATTCACGCTTATTAATAAACTAATTTATTTTTATAGCCAACTCTTGCAGCACTCGATATAGCTAGAAACCTTAAATTATTCAAAAGTTTATCGAAAATTTCATCGTTAATTTTACGACTAGTTTTAATGCTCATCTTCACAACACTTATTGTCTTCTTCCGTTTGTGGATGCAAAATTTCTCAACACCAGAATTTAGAATTGAAGATAATCCAATTGCAGCCACAGATAGCCAATTGACAAGAATACTGAGTCAAAATTTCTTGTATTGCTTTAACTTTTATCTTTTATTGATGCCAGATTGGCTGAGTTTTGACTGGAGTTTTGAAAGTATTGAGAAAATGGAAGGATTTGAAGATGTGAGAATTTTTGGGATTTTGGTATTTCATGGAATGTTGATTGTAATAGTGCTAAGAGGTATTAGAAAAAGGTACGAAATATATATTTTTAAAAAAATGATTTAAAATTAATTTAAAAATCTCTTTAATTTTAGAAAACTTTTAACAGCACTTGTTCTCTTGATAATTCCATTTACACCAGCAATTGGAATAATTAAAGTCGGTTTTGTGATAGCTGAAAGGATACTTTACATCCCATCGATCGGATTCTCAATCTACGTCGCAATTGGATACAAAAAACTCATCAAAAACTTTAAATTTCTTCGTCCATATCTTTACATGTCCTTCATACTACTAATCATATTTCATAGCATGAAAACATACACAAGAAGTCTTGATTGGCGAACTGAAAGTCAACTTTTTTTCTCAGCCTTAAAAATTGTTCCAAAAAATGCGAAAGTTTATTACAACATTGCTAGAATCTCATCAGAAAATAAGCAAATTGAAATGTCTGTAAAATTTTATCGACATGCAATAAGACTACATCCAAACTATGAATCAGCTCATATGAACCTAGGAAATATTTATCGTGAATTGAATGAATTTGAAAAGGCAAAATTTCATTTAAATAAAGCGGTAGAAATACTCGAAGAATTTCCAACAGCGTGGATGAATTTAGGAATTGTTCAAGCAGTATTAAAAGATTTCGAGTCAAGTGAACAGAGCTATTTAAAGGCTTTATCATATCGTAAAAATTATGCAAATTGTTATTATAACATGGGCAACTTATACATCGAAATGAAAAACTCATCAGCAGCAATTGAACATTGGAAACGATCTATTGCAATTAATCCAGGTCATCGTAAGGCTTGGTCAAATATATTAGCATTTTATGACAATCAGCGTAACAATCACGAAACTGTTTTAAAATATTCTGAAATTGCTTTAATTTATCTGCCAAATGACACAAACATTTTATTCTCGAGGGCAAATACTTTCGGAAAAATGGCATATTATGAAGAAGCCGAGAAACTGTTTAAGCAAATTATCGAAGCTGAACCAAAAAAGTCAATATTTTATGCCAATTTGGGAGTTCTCTATCATCGGTGGGGGAAGAAAGAATTAGCAAAAAAATATTATCGAGCAGCGCTGTCACTTGATGCGTCATTAAAGAATGCACAAAGTAATTTAATGAAATTACAAGAATTTGGCGAATAAAACAGTGTTCATGAAGCTAATAGGGACATTAATTGGATAATGTGCGAACTAGGTAAATGATCAACATCCAAATTAATTCTAAAAACTCAAAAATTCAAGTATTTTACAGTATTTTTGACATTTTCATTTTAAACGTTCGAAAAATATTCTTAAGATTAATCGCGGAATAAAATAATTGACTTGAATAAATTTTTTACTAGATATTTAAGAACATTTGTATTTATGAAACTCAAAACAGCAATAAACGATTATGAATCAAAATGTTATCATCTTTTTAAATGCCTAGCATGTCTAATTTCTAAAGCTCTTTTTTCCATTTCACCGTTCTGGTTACGGAGCTCGGTTCGTGTGTTGGGTGTAGTTTTGAGGTCTTTGGCACAAAATATGCCTTATTTGCTGGATTTCAAAGATATACTAGCATCTAGATGACATCTTGCGCACACGAATTATGACTAGCTACATTGCAGGGTAAATCAGGTCTTATGACGTACTCGTGTCTTTGCAATGTGCGGAGCTTGCAAGTGATTCGGATCCCATTATAAACTGTAGTTCTAAAGGGTGTGGTACAATAGATTCTTTACAAATTGAACCGCAGTGCCTCCAGCTGAAAGGTTGGGCTATGATATATGAACGGATGCTATGTATTTTAATATAATTAAAAATTGTTGGAAAAAATAAATTCACTCAATGTTTCGTCCCGAGCGGGAATCGAACCTAGCACCTCTCGATTGCCGGTCAAATACTCAGATTACTAAGCTATTGGGAGTGAACTGCCAGAATGCCAATATATGCGAAACACTCTTTTTCAATAAATTTTAAGGTTTTCGTACAATATCAATCTTCATAAGACTTGCCAAGGAAATCATATTAAATTTCATAAAATTTTATTCGATTTCGAAAATAAATATGGAATTTTTATAAATCTTTAAACAGGAAGTTAACTAATAACAATTATATAAATCTTTATATACAAAATAAATAAGAAAATTTTTGTATCACATTCTTGTTTTTAAATTTTTGTAGGGAAATGATTTTTGTGCATTGACTTTAGAGCTTTTAAATCACAAATGTTTGGTTCACTAGCTCTGGAAATAATTTCAACTAGAAAAGTTCTGCAAGCTACAACAATTTGTCCAGAACAACTTCATTCTATCTAATTTATACCAGCAATATTCCTCATAAAATTCTTTAACGTTCGTCGAATCCATTTTAGCCTCAATCATAATCTTATAGCTTCACCACCAGATCCTGAATTTTCATCATTTCCATCCAATATCAATGCGGAATGTTCATCGATTGTTTCTTTTTCAGCTAGTAAAGGAACTTGATATGGGAGCTCACTGGTTGCCCAAAGATATAAGTCTAATGTTTTCTCGGTGCACTCTGCAATAAAACGGATGAAGGGTCGGATATCACCCTCGTTTGCCATTTGGAGGTAGTTGTAGTATTGAAGTCTAAAAAAGTAAAATTTAGTGTATTAATGATATAGATTATTGCAATGAATTTACCTTTGTTGCTTCTGAATAACAACAGGTGGAAATCCATATCTCATTAGAATTGTATTCATCAACAGCCTTGACGTTCGTCCATTACCATCACTAAATGGATGAATATGAACCAATTTGTAATGTGCAATTGCAGCTTGTTTCACTGGATGTAGCTCATTTGTATAGTCTGAATTTAACCATTGAAGAAAATCATCCATCAACATGTTCAATTGTGATGGTTTGGGTGGAATATGTGAGCCTACATAGACCTGATTTCGTCTGAACATTCCACCTTCAATTGGATCGACGTGTCCAAGAACTCGTTTGTGGATCTCAAGAATGTCATTGAGGGTTAAAACTTCACTTCTAAAATTGAAAATATATAGTAGCTCAATTTTACATCCAAAACAGCACAGCTCGTAATGACTTACTTAACAAGCGTAGCATTTACATATTTCATAGCTGAATCCAGTCCAAGAATTTCATTATGTTCCTCTACACTTCTTCCACTAACTGCCATATGTGTCTCAAGTACTGATCTAGTCTCAGCTAATGTCATACTGTTGCCCTCAATACCAACTGAATGGTAAATATGAAGAATGTAGGCCTCTTTTGTAGCTCGTTTCATTGCAGCACCTCTTGCATCAACTTGTGACAATAAATCACGTTTTTCATCTAGTCGACGTAGTCGTTCCTCATCAATTGATTGGACAACGGCTGCTGTCATTTGGCGCCTCTCAAGTGCTCGTTCATAATTTGGATCAAAAGAAATTGCGCGATGATAAAAATGATCAGCTTTTATTATGTCACGTTGCTCTAAAAATAAACCAAATTCTGTTAAAATTCTTGGATTATTTGGTGCTAGTGACAGTGAATGTTGAAAGACTTTGTAAGCCTTGTCGAATTTTCCTGCTTTTTTCAGTTCAATTGCAGCTTTTAAATTTATTTCAGCTTCTACATTATTCTCCTCAATTTTTGTAATTTTCTTCATTTTTCCCGGAACTTCAAACCTCAGTGGATCGTAATTTATTTGAAGCTCATGATCCCGAGGCAATAGAAACTTTGTTGGCTGTTTTTTGATGTAATTTAATAAAATAAATATCAATATTGAAATTCCACAAATTAGAATTGCAAAAATTATTGATTTCTTCCGTTTTGGATATATATTTTCACTTATTATCTCCGTCATTGTGTCCACAATATTTTTAACTTCAATTTCACTCATGTTTTTGTATTAATTTCATAACGATTGCTTAAAAAAAATTAACATTGAATTTTTATGATTTTTTATGTCTTAAATACTGAATCAGCTGTAATTGTGGAATGTCGAGTTTGACTTATTTTGGGAAAAACTTTAAAGTTTTTCGAACATGCGAAAAGAAATTTTTAAAATAGATATAATGATAAGCATGCATGCTGGCATGTAACGATCCTGAAAAAGTAAAGGCACAGAAAAATATGGAATTATTTTTGATTGAACAAACAATATATGGAGTCGTTCAGTTATGACGTCTTACATTTAGGGGGGTCTAAGAATTTGTGACATCCAATTTTTTTTGTGTCTATGATTGGACGTAAAGGGGAGGGTGGAGGGTTATTGACATATGTGACAGTTTTGTGACAGAGGGGGGAAGGAGGGTCCAAAAATTATGTTTTTCGATCGACGTCATAAGTGTAATTTTAAGATATACAAGATTGCATAATATTATGAAATTATCTGGATATGTTCCCAATCCTGTCGCGTGTTTTGTCTTCTTCTTATCTTTATCTTTCTCTTTGATCATACATACACTTGTGATACTCAGAGACTACACATATATTTACTTTTTGCAAGTCTTGCTCTCTTCCTGACTCTCATTTTCGATCTATACACTTGTTAGAATTTTGCGTTTTTTTCTCATTGGATTTAAAGTTGTTGTACAAATCAGACGTGATTTTAGACAGTCTTTATTTTTATCAGATAATTATTAGAGTGAAAAGGCGGGAAAAATTATTGTGCAGTGTATTGTGATAAGATCTTTAGAAATTATTAATTATAAAATAAAGAATTGGTTAACAATTTAACAAAAACGAGGCAAAATACATTTACAAAAAGTGCCTGCATTTAATAAAACTTTGGAAAAAAGATGTAAATATTTATGAACCATTCGTAAAAGATTTTTACCATAATCAGAAATTTTAAAAAAAATTGATTTAATCAGAGTTCAATCAAACCATTTATTTATTTATTTTTTGTAGTAAGCATGTCAAAAGAACCGCCAGCAAAGATTTTTAAAGTTGGCACACCAGACTTCCGAAATGATTCAAGTGAAATTGAATTAATGGAAGTTGAAGATGATGAATTAGCTAGTTCTTCAAGAAGTTCAATATTAGCTTCTGAAAAACCTATATTGGATATACTGAATCATAAATTTCTTCAAGTCGAGAGCCGTTTTGTTGCTGACATTAGATCATTTACTGCAATCCCTTATTATGATAACTTAAAAATCATTAAAATTACATTAGAGGCCCTTCAAAAGTTGTCAATTTTAAATTTCGAAGCATTTCCAAATGTGTTTATTTTTGTAATAGAAATTAAAAGTTTTGGATACAACCAAGCATCTGTTCTTAACATTGAGAGCTTAATGAACAATTTATTTATAACTGATTATCATGCTACTCGTCCACTTATACTACAATTAACTTCAAAATCCGAAAATTTGTCTAAATTCTTTTACAAAAAAGAAAAATCGAACAACTTTGCTGAAATTGGAATTGATGAGAATTTCGACAACGTTTGGAATTTTTCATCATTTTTCTGGAAGTTTATGAATGGGGAAATTGACTCTTTTGATAGAAATTTAATTGTCAATCTGCTAAAACTACAAAGATTAGAATCTAATTTAATCATTAGATTTTTAAATATTTTTAAAATTCCTGGAGATTTCTTGTGGACATTGAAAATTGAATGTTCAAAATATGGTTCAAAAAGTCAATTTTTAGCAGCTTTTGATGAATCATTTGACAACAAGACGAATCATTTAAACATCAAGGGCCAAAGCATCTTAAATCGTACATTTTTATTGTCAACTTCTGAAGTATCAATCCTGTCGCTGGCTGTAGAAAACTCAAACATTGAAATTATTGAGTACTTAACAACAAAATGCTTTCATTTAATTCAACAACTTCCATCTGATCATCAAGTCAAAGTCACTACAATTGCTTTTAATAATCAAGAATTTGATATTGTTAGTGAATTGATCGAAGAATGTGATTTTCCATTTCCTGATAAATTCAACATTGTGATGACCAGTAATTTAAGACTTAATCATATAGCCAAATCAAGATGTGATTTCTTCATTGCAATTCAATTTGGAAATTTAACTGCAATCAATAATTTTATTGACAATAATCCAAATCTAAAAATTGTCTACAGCATTGACAATAAGTCATCTTTAAAACAATCGATTGATTCCAATAAAATTGACATCTATTGTGTTCTTAAATTTCATGGATTTCAACCAGCTTATAATGAGGATTTTGAAAATTTTCTTACTCCATCACAAAGAGAGCAGATTGCAGAAATTAATGTTCAAAATGGACTTAAATGCACTACAGCCGTACAGCTTGCACATAGATCAATTATTCATAATCAGAAGATTAATAAAGAAACAGAACAACAATATCGTCAATTTATTCAAAAATGGTACGAATTAATATACAAATCAAAATTTGGAATGGAATTGATCAATGCAATTGCTCAATGTGAAGAATTAATCATCGATTTTGATTTTGAAAGTGAATTTGTGAGTATCAAAATTGATATTTTTACAATAAATCATATTAAAAGTTAAAAAATAGCTTTAATTTAAAAAAAAAGTCGAGTTTAAGCTGTAATGAGACTTTTGCGTACTAGTGAAATTTGAGGAAACGGGACAAAAAGTCACGGTTTCTGCAGATCATAATCTATTAAAAATGAAGATAACAAGATTTTCCGGAGCAAGCTTTTTTCATTTTAATTGCACTTTGTTGCATTAGCAAGTTAAAGTCCAATGTGGAACAAACATTAGCTAGACTTAAATTGCCAGACATTAAGCTAGACTTTAACTAGACATTTAAACTAAATAACTTTGTGTTCAAATCTCAAAATTAATTTTCTTTACTTTCTGCCTATATACTTTACAAGCACTTGCAGAAATCACTAATGTAACTTGATTTTTCACTCGCACGCATTTGAGGCTTTTGTTTATTATTGAAGATTTTATTTTTTTAAAGTTCTTTAATTAAGTATAATAATAAACTAGAATAGAAGTCACATTAAAGAAGTGAACGTACGAAAGAAGCAAATTATCCTCGCGTAGATCAGTAAGCTCATATTGAAGGTACATGCATTGATCCAGTCGGATAAAAGTCAAAACCATGAATCCCTATTTAAGAACAGCCATTGTGCTTTTATGCCAAAGCTCAGCTTATAAGGACATAACTTCCAAAAGCAATGGCAGAAATAGTCATTTAACGGTTTTTTGAAATTTAAAGTCATTGGCTAATCCAATATCAATTATGTGCACCACTTCAAATAGTAAAGTTAATTTAATTAAGAAACTAAGATGAATTAGAAAAACAAATATGTGACTGTCCGCAATATCAAAAAGCAGTTATCGAATGCAAAAAACTAGAAATCTCTAAGTGCTTCCAGTTCTGAGAAAAACGGGCAAACCAGCCAGTCAAAGTAGACATTGTTTCCCAAGGAAAAAACACGGTTTTTGGCACATTTTCTAATTATCCTAAGCTTAATGTTACTATACAAAAGTATAACAAGGTCTAGTTATAATGAACATTAAAAATATGTCAGTAGTCGTCCGTGTGTTTGGTTCAAAAGGCTAGTTTATGGCAAGTTAATGGAAAGTCTTTAAATAGTTCAAAGTCAACCCGGGTATAATCTTTGCTTGGAGATAATTAAACATTATAATAATTGTATTTAAAGACTTTAATCTGCGGTAGCTTTGCAAATATCAAGCATACTTCTAGAATCTAGATTAATATTTGAAAAAAAAAATAAACATTAACTGAGCTCAGCTGAGTTGCTCTCTGAAGTTAAAATAATAGAAAGTAAAATATTTTTCAAACAATTTTGCAGGTCCATAACATCGACATGTCTCCCAAAGACGAAGCATTTGGATCAACGTATCCACATAAGAAATGGATTTTGATTGGCGCTAAATTAACAAACGACGAAAATAAAGAACAAGAAATAAGAGGAACAATAGCACATGAGTTTTGTCATTACATCCTTTACTTAATATTTGACAATAACTTAAAGCCTTATAGTAATAAATCTAAAAATATTGAAGGGATTTTTGATGCAATTGTCAAAGTTTATTCTCAATGGTTTCATTCAGCATTCACAAATAGTGAAAATGAAGCATATGATGAATGTAATCATATCATATCAAATGTATACAAAAAATATTCAATGGATAAACATCATCAAGAATTAATTGTCAGAGTTCCTGAAATTTTGACTTACTTTGACGGTGATGACGAAAAAATCGAGCAAATTAGTAAAATTTACAAACCATTATTTACCTTTTATGAAGCATTTGTGCTGCCTGCCTTAAAAACATTCAATTTAAAAGATCGAGAATGTGTAAAAATGTTCAACAAAATTTCCGGAGTTTTACAAAAGGTTTGGAACATGGAATATGATTTGACAGACTGGAAAGATCTTACTGGAAGTCTTAATCGAAACATTATTATTAATACAAATAATTCAAGCCTTTTATTACGAAACATTTGTTACTGTCTATTCCAAGAAAATCAACAACTTTTTAACACAAAATCAATTTTTATGGCACCAAAATGCTTACAAAATGAAGAAATTTTTAAACAATTTAATGAAATTTTGACAAAAGAAAGAAATTTGGATCACTTTTTTGGAAATTCTGAACAACAAATCACAAGATTTAAAAGGGAAATTAATTCAGTTGATTCCGATGTATCAATGGAAAATGTTGAAAGTTCAAATATTATTTTCAATAATTTTAGTGAAATGTCCAAAAATAACTTCAACAGTTCTGAATATATTCCTATAATTGTAGATTGCTCGGAGGAATCAGGATCATTTTTAAATCAATATGCAGACATTTTGTCACGACAAACTGCCAATTTCATCTTTGTTCTTAAAAATGGATATGAAAGTGACGAATTGGTACAAATTTTGGAGAAAAAAATGGGAATACGAGAAAGAATTACAATTGATTATTCCTGGAATGATCTTACGATTAAAAGTCAAGATCTTTTATTGCAAAGAGAAATTTCTCTTCAAAATAGTCCAAAAATTTTATTAAAGACAATTGAGAATGTCTCAGCAGATCAACATTTAAATAACGAACCTTTTCAAAATATTGTCGATTCGCAACTTCTTAATCTTCTAATGGATAAATCAACAGAAATTCATATAAATAAGAACAATAATCAAGAGCTTAAATCCGATGAATTTTTTGAAGCTATTTTCCAAACAAGAAATTTTGTCAAAAACTTTAGTAAGGAAATTGAAAAAAAATTATCGATCGATGAATTTGAGAGTCAAAAAAGCACAAAAATTTTTAATAATATTGAAATTGATGAGCAAAATGAATCAGTTAAGTTCACGGAAGTGATTAAAATAAGTGAAAGCATATCATTAAGTGATCAACTTGATGAAGTACAAAATCAGAAATATGTCATTATATCTGACACAGCTGGAACTGGAAAAAGCTGGATGCTGAAAAATATTGGAAAAATTCTACAAAATAAATATCCGGATAGATGGCAAACCTATATAGATTTAAATCAATTTACTGATGAATTTAAGTCATTTTGTAATGAAAATTTTGTCGATTTTATGATTAAAAAAATTATTAAACCGAAAGAAAAATTCGAAGAAAAAATCTTTAAGCAGCTTTACAAAAATGGAAAAGTTGTCATCCTTTTTGATGGATTCGATGAAATTTGTTCGGAATGTACTGATCCCATGATTAAAGTTCTAGAATCTTTTGAACATAATAATGGAAATCAGCTTTGGATTACAACAAGAGATTATTATCAAGTTTCAATACAAGAAAAGTTAAAAATTGATGTTGTTTACAAACTCGACGAATTCCCAAAAGATTATGGAGAACATTTGATTTCCTTAAGTTGGATATTGATGGAACTTAAGGAAAAAAGTTCAAAAATTGATGTAAAATCACTTAATCAAATACTAAAGCAGAATCCAAAAAAATTGGAACATTATCAACAAAAAGCTAAAAGTTTATTAAACAAAATTCCAAAAATCAACAACCGAAAAATCGGATATCCATTGTTCTATAAAATAGTATCTGAAATCTACAAAGACAAATTAGATGATGAAATAATCATGACTTTATATTCTACATACAAGGAATACACAATAAAACAATATAAAATTTGGTCAAATGAAAAAGGAAAAATTTGGAATGAAGACAGCATTAGAGTTCAAATGGATGGAGTGAATTTTGTCTTAGTTCATCAATTTCATGCAATGGAAAGTTTATTTCCAAAAATTACAGTTTTTTGTGATTTAAAGAAGGAAAATATAGGCTGGCCAGAAATACAAATCGTTAATTTTGGATTGATAAATAAAAATGTTTTTATTCACGAGACATTTTGTGAATTTTATGCTGCAGAATTTGTGCTTAGAGTTATTGAAAAGGAATTGTGGGAAACTCATGAAGATTTTTTCAAATTTTTCATCTCATTATTGACTGAGAAAAAATTTGATGTTGTCCGGATGTTTATCAATGAAGCATGGAATTCAATTTCTTTAAAATTGGAACTAAACATTAAAAATTTTGCAGACCAATTCGACAGATTTATTGATGGAAATCAAAGTTTTTCAAAAATTTATAGTGAAAATCTAGAAAATTTGGCTTTATTTTTGATAAATGTGTTTAATTGTTTAAAATACAATAAAGTCAAAAACATTTTATTTAAAAATATTATCAGCATCATCAATAAGACCAAAAACTCGGAATTATTCCTGAAATTTCAAGAATTTTATATGAATTTTCTACAAGTTAATGATTTAAAATTAATTTTATTAAATCTTAATATTATTAATTATATTGCTGAATCATCATTAAACCATGAAGTCGTAAAACATTTAAATACAAAAATTCTACAAAAATTGGATGCAAAATTTATGAAACAAATTTTAATGCCAACAAACCATAATAATTTATTATTGACAATTATCGACAGCAGAAGATTTACTGCTCAAAAGTTCCAAACATTTTGTTCAATGATGGAAGAATACTTGGGAAAAGAAATCTTAATGTCTTTATTTTGGAGAAACACTGACAGCCAAATCACTAACATCATGCACAAAATAATATTCAAAAGAGATGAAGAACTGCTTAAAACTGTCTGGAAGACAATTAAAGAAATTTTAAATTCATCCGAAAAGCCATTGTCTAAGCTTTTACCTCAACTAAAACGCAATAAAATGAGAACACCGCTTCATGATGCTGCATTTTCAAACAAAGTTCAATTTTATGTAACTTTATGGGAACTTTTGCTTGATACTTTTATAAATCGTGAAGAATTGAAAGAATTTGTGCTTCAAAAAGATGTTTTTGGTAACGGTTTTATCCACATGGTGGTGGCATTGCAGAGCGCAGACATTATTGAATTGAATTTTAAAGTCTTAAAAGATAATTTTAATGACAATCAATATAAGGAAATTATAAACTCACATGGATATGAAAATCGTAATTTGCTTCAAAAAGCAACTGAAATTTCTAAAGACATCTCAGTTCATCAAAAGTTATGGAAAATTGTTCGTGAATCTTGTGATTCATCAATAGATTTCATTAAATTCATCATTGAGCAAGACAACTCAGAAAATAACGTTCTCTTTATGGCTATGAATTTTCCAACTTGTGATATATTCAATACAATGATTGAAGAACTAGAACAAATCACAGAACATTTAGAAATTAAGAAATTATTAAAATTGAAAAACGGTTATGGACAAAATCTTCTTCATAAGTCATTGAGATTTAATCAGTCAATAGAATTGCAAATTGGATTATGGAACATCCTTTATAAATATCTTGAATTAAAAGAAATTCAAGAACTAGTTAACGATAATGAGAATTATGAATGTAATATTCTACATTATGCTGTTACTTATAGCTCACTAGAAATTACAGCTTACACATTAGGTCAAATTAAAAATGTTTTGAATGAAAATGAACTTAAAAGTTATTTACTTATTCCTGGATATAAAAGAAAAAGTTTATATGAAAGTGCTTTGCAGAATGAATTATCTCAAATGGCTGTTTGGATTTTAAATGAAATGACAAGTTATTGTGCTTACTATTAATCATTTGTGTGCATAAAATTATTTTAGAATTTTTAAGTAATATGGTTTTTTTTGGGAAAAATAAAAAAAATAAATATTAAAGAAAATATCAAATTTATAAAATATTATTTTAGTTTTTTCACTTAATAAAATCATGATAAAATTTAAAATATTGTTTTTTTTAAAAAAAAAAGTGCATATGCTTCTTATTCCATCTTCTTTAAAATTCACAAATATTATCAGAAAATTATATGTTCTCAAATATTCCTGCTTGCCAAAATACAATGTTGCAAATTGAGTCCGGACAGTAATTTATTCTCCCAAAAATTTTGCACACCAAAATTGTTTCAGAAATTTCTATCGAAGCTCTTTAATCACATGTTTCTCTTTTATCATTTCAGTTTCTTTTGTGTGTTTCAGAGAAACAGAATAAAATTGAATTTTTTGTTGCTTGATTTTAAGGTTTGTAAGAAGTATTCCGGTCAACTTTTGTTTGCATTTAAATATTCAAATCAATAAAATGTAAGTATTGAAATATCTTTAAAAAAATGCACAACTTGATTGCTATTAATTATTTTGATCTTAAAAAATATTATTTCGAGTAGTTTGATTAATTTAAAGTGAAGCGAGAAATTTTATATTTTAAAGCCATTAAAAAATTTAAATATAAATTCAAAATAAGTAAAGATAAAAGATTTTTTAATTAAAGAATTACAAACGTCCTCGTGTTATTGATCAAGAGCATTTTTGACGCAACGATCATTATTTGATTAGCAACAGAAATCAAGTATTTGTTGCAATTAATTCTCACATAAAAATATTGCAGAAGTCCTCGTGTTATTGATCGAGGGACTTAAGCGCATTTTTGTGTTAGCGATCAGTGTTTGATTTTTTATTTATTTCCGTTCATTTACAGATCATTAGATCATTAGAAGTTTTTTTTACGCACCCTGATTACAATTTTTATAGCGGTAGAAAATATTTCAAATTTCTGAACGCATCTCTTACCGGTTTTTTCATATGAAACAAAAGAAATTATTAATTTAAGTATAAGTACACTGTTTTAAGACTTTTAACCGTTTGGCCGGGCAATAAATCGATAGAACTAAGCTAATAAAACAAACCCGAGCTCTTTACGATGCATGGTTAAAAAGTTTTTTTTTCGCCCGAACAGCTGAACAGCCGAACAAAGTGTATTTTTAAGCTACATTGTGGAAAAAAGTGTCAAAATGCGTTAAAAAGATTGACATCAAAATTTTTATCAAACTGTGCACAATGACAAGTTTTAAACTTAATAAAATGCAAAATTCTAAAACACATGCAAGATTGTCAATGTCTTAGATCTTGAAACCTAAATCTTGTTTAATCATGATTGAATTTTATTGAAATAAAGGGCTGTTCATAAATTATGTTCATTAAAAAATAAAAAATTTGTCACCTTACCAAAATTAATCATAAAATGCATGGAAAAAAGTTTATTACATTTAAATCACGTTTGAACCGTCAAAAACTCTAGACCTTTCTTGCTACTATATGTTGCACGTCATTTACGAACTTTCCCTTATGTGTATAAGTTTTATTAGGAAAAAGTTTAAAAATAATCATTATTTGTTTCTATGTATATGTTGTGACATTGTGTTTCTTTTTATACACAATTCTTAACTTTACTATTACTAAATTTGAAAATTCAGACAATCTAATATTATTTAATTCTTTCCATAGTTTTACAAAAATAAAATGGACGGAGAATCCTCAGCTAAACGATCAAGAATTGATGCTAATCATTTAAATAATAGCGATATAATTGACATTACTGACTCTTCAGAATTAACTGAAAATGTCGAGAGTTTTGTAAAGATTGCCAAAGATTATGTCAATGATGATTCTTTTTTTGCCAGCAATCCATCGATCATCAAAATTTGTCAGGCTTTTGTTCAGAAAAAATTTTACGAATTTCAGAAAAAAACTGGAAAATTAGAAACAACTTCTGAATTTTCAGTTTATAAATCTCAACAGCTTAAGGACAACGAATTCAAAAATTTTTTTCAATCTCATCAAATCGTTGCATTAAAAGAGTTTTATTCATCAGAGGAGAACATTTGTGGGTTAAATTCAAATGAATGTTCGTCAAAGGATAAACTTGTTGCCGCAGACTTAATAGAAAAAGACAAAGAATTTTATGTTTTTTATCATGAAATCATTCGCGACTATTTTGTTGCCGACTACATTTTGAATAGATTTAAAAATCATCACTTTGAAAAAAATTGTGAAAAATGTGTCAGCGCATTCATTTACATCCTCATAAATTCAGAATTTGAAAATATACGGAAGTTTATTGATGAAGGCTTAAAAGAGGATCAAGCTGATGCTAGTCAACAGACATCTGAGGGTGAAAATGACTCAGAAATTAATAATTTGAGTGTGGAGGAATTGGAAGAAAGAATAATTGATGATAAAAATATTGAAAAGTTGAAGGATGAAAACTTGCAAAATTTTGCAAATAAACTGCTCAAAGAAACTGAAAATTCGGAAGTTTTTATAAGAATTTTTATAGAAAATCTTGAGCATCTCATCAAATTCATCATTGAAGTTCTTCAACATGCTGATAATGATAATTTACGACGATTTCTTATTGAAAATACAACAAAAGTCTTTGAAATGTCTAAAGATTCAGAAATAGTTCAAACTTTTATGACTTTCATCTTGAAAGTTTTAAATAATGAAGATTTAAAAATCCTCGTTAAGAAGCGAAAAATCTTTCAAGCTCTTCCTAAATACAACCAATGTTCTTTTATTGCTGAAACTTTAACTTCAAATTTTGAAGAAAAATTTGGTAAATTATTTGTTCGTGAAGCTTTGCTTATTGGTGATAGATATTCATCAACTATCCTTACCATTGTAACATCGTCGTACAATTTTACACCTAAAAAGTTCGAAATTATTTTTGATATCCTCGAGAAATATCTGACAGAGGAGGATATTAAAAAAATGATGACATCTAATGCTCAAAATATTCTTCATGCTTTGGTATGGCAGCAAAATGAAGTTATCCTTAAAGTTGTTTGGAATAGAATTAAAGAGCATTTTAAGTCTAAAAATGCAGTTGCAAAATTTCGAGAGCTAATTTTTCAAAAAGCTTCAATTCATCGAAATCGGACTGTTTTGCATGTTGCAGCTGTCTGCGTAGGTTATGAGTTTCATATGATCCTATGGCAGCTTTTGAATGAAACATTTGCAAGTTCAACGGATTTGAAGGAACTTGTGATGCAAAATGACAGAGACAATAACAATTTTGTTCATACTTTAGTGACATTTAATGAGGAACAAGTTATTGAATTAGTTTTCAAATTGCTTGATGAAAAACTTAAACCTTCTCATTTTAAAAAAATTTCTCAATCGAAAGGCTTCAAACAAAGAAACGTAATTCAAAAAGCAGCAGATAAAACTGACAAAGTTTCAGTTCACCAATGTTTGTGGAAAAATCTTCAAAAAAAGTTCAGCAATGCAGAATTTAAACACATGCTGACAGAAACTGACACAGATGGACAAAATATCTTACATATAACAGCCAGTTTCCTTCCTGGAAAAGTATTTGACTTTATGATCCAAGAAATTGATAAACTCATGTCATGTGATGAGATTCAAGAGCTTTTAAGCAGCGAAAATAAATGGATGGAAAATATTTTTCAATCTGCAGTAAAACTTAATTTTTCTCAATCGCTTCACGAATCGCTATGGAAAACTTATCATAACTATTTCAAAGCAGAAGAAATTGTTGATTTTATTACACATCCTCAAATACACAACTGCAATTTGATGCATGTGACTGTGGGTTATGCACCAAGAGCCATCAATGAGTTCACATGGAATGAAATTAAGAAATTAATGAGCTATGAAGAACAAAGAGAATATTTAAGTACAACAGGATTTAAAGGAATGACTTTGGATACCAACTGCAGACAAAAGAATAGGAAACCAAATGTACTGTCCTGGATTGAAGGTATTCTTGGTGAATATGAATTGATGTAAAAAGATTACAAATATTAAGCAACTTATAAATCAGATTTTTATTATTATTGATAATTTTTAATCATTTATGATAATTTCCTGGATATTAAAATATTAAGTTAAGAGACTCTTTCATGAGCTGATTTTAAATTTTTTCTATTTACAATAAACGGTTCAAATTTCACAAAAACCGTTATAATCCTATGAAAATTAAATATTCTAATATAAGACTGTTCAATTTTTTGCCTCAATGTTTGATTAAAAAGGATGCCTTATTAATTATTTATAACTTTATAGCACTTAACTTTAAAAATGAGTTGGTTTGAATTTTTGCATTGGTCCATTTAGACCAAATTAAACTCTTATTGTAATATGGAATTTCGTCTAGTTTGTTTTAATCATAATAACATTTTTTTAAAATTCTTGAATTTTTCTTGAATTTAAATAAAACAAAAATCCAACTATGGAAGCTAAAGCTAATAAAAATATTTTATTGCAAACTATAACTTATAACCTAAAAATATATTTTATTAACTTTTCATGACTAGCTTTTTTTTGAAAATTCATATAAATTATATTTGCATTAAATAAAAAACTTTAGTTCATCGAAAGTTTTCACTTTTAAAACTAAAGTTATAGATTTATATTAAAATTATGAAATTTTTTCTAACATTTGAATTGTGTTTAATTCTTGGAGTTTATGTTGTAGACGTAACTGCTGGTGGACCAAGTTTTGAAACCAGTCCCTCTTCGATGGTCGAACCTAAAAGTATGATTGAATTTTTTTAACATGTAAATCCAATAGAGCTCTTTTTTATTTTGCTAGCCGTACCATGTTCATACTTTTGTTTAAATCCATGTAAGTATTTTTTAAAACTTCTTAGTTTTTAAATTGAAAAAAAAAAATTGTTGCAGTCAAAAAACTTTACCCAACTTCAAATTATAAACCAACGTTTAATGGCTGTGGAAGTGGAGGATTAACAATTTCCAGGAACAAACTTCCAAAACCTGAAATTGAGAACTGCTGCAATGACCACGATATTTGCTATGATACTTGCAAGAAAGACAAAGTTAATTGTGATAATGTTTTCAGGAATTGTATGATAAGAGCATGTGGATCTTCAATGGACTGTTTTCTTGTAGCTGAATCTTTGTATCAAGCTGTTGATAATCTCGGTTGTCCAGCTTATATAAGCGCACAGTCTAGTGCTTGCACTTGTAAATATATTTGGGGTTAAATCATATCCAAATGGACATTTGACGCTTATTCTTAGTAAATAACTTGACTTCTAGTCAATTAATTATATTTTTAAGGAACTTTCGGTAAATATTAATTATTAAGTCACGAGAAATGTTGTTTAATAAATATTCAATTTTATTATAAGTTTACTGATATTCGTGATTTCGCTTATTTAAAATCAATAAAATATAAATTCTTTCCAAGTTAAAAAGTTTCCCTAATAGCATGAGATCGTTTTTACCGACTGTCAATCAGAACAGTCATATAATTTATTGTGCAGTTTATTATTTATGCTTAATTTAAGCTTGCGCAGCAAAAAAATAAAAAAAAAACAACAACAACAACTGCTTAAAGTCATGGCAGTTTGCGCAGCCAAAACCGAATGCTTGAAGAAAACCCCGTCGAATATTTTGATTACTTGTTTTTTTTTGCAAGCTAGGCTATCATGCAGAATGCATTGATACTATGGCAGATTTGCCTTCTGCAGCGGCTCAGGCAAGAACAATGAACAAGTGCCCCGCATTGGTGTATAGGTGTAAAGTGTGCAGATATGTTGAAAGTGACCCGATTTTAATGAAAAATGTCATTGAAATTATGAATGAGTTGAAAAATGAATTAAAAGATGTGAAAAATGAGGTGCAAGTGTTGAAAAATGAATTATTCAAATCAAACGCGAATAATGAAACACCTTTGAGTTGGTCATCGATGACGAAAAGATTTAGAGAGAATACATCAAAATCAGTTGTTGTCGTGAATTCGAAAGACGTAAATGTCAAAACTGCTGAGTTGAAAAAGTTATTAAAAGAAAAACTTAAGGATGAAAATGTTGAAAAAGTAAACACTATACCAACAAGCAAGAATAATGGAATCATTGTGGTGTGCGAAAATGATATGGAGAAAGAAAAAGTACGTAAAGCTGTTGAAAAAAACGTGGATGAATGCGTAGTGACGGAGCCTAAGAAGAAAAATCCAAGAATTAAAATACTTAATGTAGAGTTGGAAAGTGATGAAGAAAAAAATAGTGACGCGATTATTGAACAAATTAAGCGAAGAAATGAAAATATTTTTGGTGACTTCAGCATATTTCAAAAGTTTGAGCATGTAGTTACTGTTCCAAGAAAAAACAAAGGAAAAAGAGTTCAAAATAAATACGACATTATTTGTTCTACCGACCCAAATACATTTAAAAAGATTATGGAAGCAAAAAAAATAAAGTTTGGTTTTCAGCAATGCAATGTGGTCGATGGTACTTATGTTCCAAGATGTTTCAGATGTTACGGCTTCTTCCACAAAGCTGGTGATTGCGATATTTGCGACGAAAATGAGAACATTTGCATCAAGTGGGGTGGAAGAAATCATAAAAAAGCAAAATGTACAGCAGAAGTTAGTTGCAACAATTGTACCGAGTATAACAAAAAAAATAAGAATGCGAAATTAGATGTAAAGCATTCAATTATTGATTTTGAATGCCCATGCTATCAAAAGGCATTTAAATCGCACTTTCGATGAAATAAACATGAAATATAAATTGAAAAAACTGAAAAACTGAAAAATTGAAATTTGAATTGAAATACAACTTGATGAATATAAGACAGTGAGATGTGACTCTAATAGTCGTCATACTGGAGGAGTTATATTATATATAAGAGAAGGAATTAAATTCAATAAAATTGCAACTGTAGCATATGATAAATCATGGTTCGCAACAATAAGTATCGAGGATGCAAATTTACAAATAACAGTAGTATACAAATCCCCCGCACAAAAACCTAATGATTTTTTTAATTTTTTAGAACAGTGCATATCGAAATATTTGGACTACTCAGCCCCTCAGATTATGGTTGGTGACATCAACATTAACGTGAATAGAAACACCAAAAAAGTGAAGGACTATATAAAATAAATGCATGCGGGTTATGAATCGTGAAAATATAAATGAGTTAAGAGAAAAATATAAAATTGTGGAAACCAAGCATCCTCAATAATTTATTTGTAAAAAATATAGATGCAAGGGTTAGGAACATGAGATTTGCGAACAACCTAGTAATACCAAATTATTTAAAAAAAAGAGCGCAGAAATCATTTGTATTTGTAGCAGCTAGGGAATACAATCTGATAACAAAATTCATTCATGATAACAAGCTAAATAATAATAATTATATTAATAATGTTATAAAATTTTTTACAAAATAAAGCCAAAATGGCGCTTAAATGAAAAAAAAAAAAAAAAGATGCTTTAAAAGTGATTTAAACCAAGAAAGCTAAATATTTTACGATAAAAATTATATACATCAAAAAATAGCTCTTAACTTAAATTTAAAGTTGAATTACAAAGCTTAAAATTCCAAAACTATTTGTGAAAATAGTGATGGTTGCAACTGGGCTGCAAATCAATTTTTTAATATCGTTTAAATATGGAAATTCAAGAACATTTCTTACTAAAGTATACTTAGCTCCTGAATGAGGAAGTTAACTTAGTCACGATTAGCAAAGGTTTGATAATAAGTCAATGAAATACAAAACCTGGTAATAAATTTTTTTAATATAAAAACCATGACTTTAAAAACCTTGTTCTCAATTTTCAAATTGTTAACTTTATCAAATATCAAGTCTTGAAAATCAGTAGACTTAAACTGTTGTCTTCCAACTTTCAAGTGCTAAGAATGTCGATAAAGCTACATTTTAAGCTACAAATTTCAGGAATTTTACTGTGTTTAATATTTACTGTGCATGCTGACACACCTGACAATAATAGCTCATTCTCAATAATTGATTGGCTTGCTGAACAGCTTAGTATATGGATTTCAGGTGTATCATCATTTGCTCAAAGAGAAACTATCAAAATAGCTGATTTTGATTGTAAATACAAGTGTAAAGATTTGAGTAAGTTAAATTTTGATTTTGGTTCGTTTAAATTATGCAACTTTATCTGTTTTTTTTTTAAATATATTAAATACTGTATTAATGCAGACAAATCGCCAAACCTAAAGACAAATTATGTCACATCATCTAATGGCTGTGGATCTGCTATAACAATTCCGAGTTTTATGGTTCCAGTTTCACTCGAAAATTGCTGTAATGAGCATGATAAATGCTACGACACTTGTAATAGGTCTAAAGAGAATTGTGATGATGAATTTCAGGAATGTTTAAATAAAATTTGTGGATTTGAATTAAGCGTCCTGGATAATTTATGTAAATCAATTTTTCCAACTATTGTTGCTGTTGCTGGTTGTTCAGAATATTTAAATGCCCAGGATAATGCTTGCATTTGTGAATTGAACTGAAGAATTTATTATTAATAATTTAATGAATAATAACGCAATAATTTTTTAGAATTTGAATAAATTTTATTGATGCATAATAGAAACAAATCTATAAAAACTTTAAAAAGTGTTCTTAATTTCAATTTAACTACAACTACTTACAAAGACAGGCGCCTTTTTGTGCTTCAAGATAAGAGCTGCATCCTAATTGTTTCACAATATTATAAAATGCTTCTGTATTTGCTTTGCAAACTTTTGTGTCACAATCAAATGCGTTTCCACATGCAATCAACATGCAGTTTCTAAATGCAGTGTCACATTCATCCTTCTTAATGTTGCATGTGTCATAGCAGTAATCATGGCTGTTGCAACACTGTTCAAATTGAGGTCTTGGAAGTTTGCTTGGATCAACTGTGATCCCTTTAGAGCCACATCCATTAAAAGTCTTTTGGTAGTTTGGATTTGGTACAGGTGTGACTCCTAAAATATAATGGAAATAATGTCGAAAGTTTGGTAAATAATTACATAATTTAATGTTTAAAAATACGATTAAAATATTTAATATTAATTTTCGTTTCGTCCGTGTCTAAAGTTTATGGAAATATTAATATTAAATTTTAAAAAGATAATTTTTACCTTATTCCAATTTTTAAGGATATCATATTTTTGCATTAAGAAAATGTGAACAAATCTTTTGAAAAACTTACTTGATGGGCATTTAAGGGTGCATTTGTTAGCAAAGCCTCTAATGGTATCTGCAATAATTCCAGGACTTTCAGGAATCGAGCAAGCAGTCAATGAAAAAACTGCCACAATTATGAAGGTTTTCGCCAAAGTTCTCATTTTCATTCGTTTTAAGATTCTTAAATTATTTTTAACAGTTTAACTTTAATTTAATAAATTTACGTGCTTTACTTTGAAAAGTAGCTCAAAAACTATTTTTCATATCATCTTAAAACACATTTTTAATTATTAATTTTATTTATCTCTTAAACAGATGTTTTTAACTTCTAATTTTCATAACGAGGACATTTAATTCGTTTTTAAGTGACAATTTCAGAGCTCTTTTAGCCTCAAATTAGATAAATTTAATATTTTTTGTGCAGATTTTTTTGAGCATTGTTAATTAAACTTATCGAATTAGTTCTAAGAATTGGTGAAAATGACAAATATTCAGCTGTGGCTCCCAAGACAGTAGGGAGTTTCAGGGGATAAACTTGGGATGAATTTCAAACAATTTTGTCGACTTGTCGAAGTTATTCCGGGTGGACACAGCCAGTTAAAGTCCATTATTGGACAATCATTTAACAGTCTTTTAACTTGCTGAAATTTATAAGACATAGAGAACTAGATGTTTACTAGACTTTAACTGGACATTCATGCTAATCAATCAAGTGCTCGAAACTCAAAAATAATTTTCCTTACTTTTTTGACCATATACTTCACAAGCGCTTGAAGAAATCACTTATATAAGGTCTCACCAAATTTGTATGAAACTTTTAAGTAAATATAAATGTTTCACGCGCAAGTGTACGAGACTCAAGTTTTACTAGCGATTTTTCATAAGTGTGAGTGTACTTTAATTAATTAATTACACTAATACAATAATAAAATTTTACAAAAGAAAAAAAAGGAGAAAAAGACACGTGTTATTTATTTTATTTCGATTTTTTTGTAACTGGACATTAACTAGACAAAATTGCAATTCCTATGTCCAGTTAAATGGAAAGCGCAAAATATGTCATTAGTCGTCCCTAAGTCTAGTTGTAAAGGCACGTCAATGGAAACTTACTCGCCATGAACAGGCAAGTCAATGGCAAGCTTTTAACTAGTACTTTGTCCACTCGGGTATTATTATTAGTAAACGCAATACGTACTGTGCTGATTTATATGAAGTTAATACAAAAATACGCTGAAGTCCCTCGATCAAAAAACACGAGGATTGCACCAATTTTTTATTATTCAAATAAAAATTACAGATGATTTTTTCTCGTGTGAACAACACATTTTTTTTAAATGAGGCCTTCATTAGTTTATTGTGCCTTAAAATGTGAATAATAAGATGGATCTGAATATTTAATCAACATTATTAATTTTCAGGATAAAGAAGAAATTACAATAAATTCAAAAAAAAAATATAGCTGGAAATTTAAACACACAAGCAAGCCCTTTTCTGTTTTATCAAATATGATGGACATCCAAAAGCTTGAACAGCTCCATAAAATGAATCAGCAACCAATTTACAGCTCCAATTTTTACATGAATTCCTCATGCAGTCTTTAAAAGTTTTATCGCAAGTTTCCCTTACACTGTTACATGTTTCATAGCAAATATCATGATTATTGCAACAATTTAAAAATTCTTTATTTGGAAGTAAACTTGGAGCAGCCATAATACCATAATCTCCACAACCATTTGTAATAGCAGTATTGTTAGGATTAACAACAGTAGTTTTTGCTGTCAGGAATTAAACGAGAATATTTCAAAATAATAAAAATAAAGAAATAATGTAACACAACTTACATCCGGAGCACTTATAGGTACAGTCAAGTATTCCTGGGACTCCAGGTTCAGTACAAAATGCAACTGAAATTAATCCGAGTAAAACTATTAAGAAATTCATTTTCTTTGCTAGAAAAACAAAACTATAGTTGAAGTTTGAAATTTTAGGACTTATTAACGAATTTAAATTTATTTCATGGCTTTTATTGCAAATCAATTTATTTGAAAATGAGTATAATGACGCAGGTTTAGTACAGATCTCTGGAATGAATTTTTTTCGAGAATGGGAAGCTCTCTTTCTCTCTTATATCATATTTTTGTAAGGTGTTTCAAAATTACCAATTTTAAAATGTTTTAATTGAATTGGCTGTTATTTATATTTTTATATGTAATTAGAGAGAAGGTATCCTGATCTATTGCTAAATGTTGAATCAATCCCATAGCAGCATCGAAATGTTTCGCATTGGAAGTACAATTAATGGTTTAGCTTAGTACAATTAACTGGTTTCTCAGTAAATTAAAGTCCTAAAATTCAATTTTAGATTACCTGCTCTTGCTTATTCACAAAAAAAAACTTTATCAATAATCGATAAACTCAAAATCTTATCATATAAAATCGATTTAAATCTTACTTCCTTAGTTCAAAAAAATGTATATAATAAAAAAATAGTCTGCCTTGTGACTTCCTCGACAGTTGTGCAATTTTTTTTTACAAAAAATTATGGAAAAATTATTATTTTCATTGGTTCTCTTACTTCCTTCAGTTTTATCGCAAGATCGGTTGATATGTGAAGGTATTCCAGATTTTGGATACGTTGCATCAAAACAGGATTGCTCGTTATATTATCAATGCATTGGAGGAATCTCTTATCGACTTCAGTGCCCTCGTGGAAATTATTTCTCAACAGAGCGACAAACGTGCGTACCTTATGCTGAATCAGATTGTCCACTCATAAATCCTACAACTACTCCCGCAACAACAACTACTACTTCACCAAATGGACTTCCTACATGCAGAGACGTTCCTGAATTTGGCTACATACCATCACTTCAAGATTGTGATTATTACTATCAGTGCATTGAAGGTGTTCAATATCTTCTGAAATGCCCGAGAGGATTTTATTTTAGCTTTGCTCAACAAACTTGTGTCAATCCAATTGACTCAGACTGTCCACTGATTAGCACTTCACCAGCTCCTCCGACAACAACGCCCCCATCAGGACCCCCAACATGTGGAGATGTTCCTGAATTTGGGTACATCCCCTCACTTGAAGCTTGTGATTATTACTACCAGTGCATTGAAGGTGTTCAATATCTTCTGAAATGCCCGAGAGGATTTTATTTTAGTTTTGCTCAACAAACTTGTGTCAATCCAATTGACTCAGACTGTCCACTGATTAGTACTTCACCAGCTCCTCCGACAACAACACCCCCATCAGGACCCCCAACATGTGGAGATGTTCCTGAATTTGGGTACATCCCCTCACTTGAAGCTTGTGATTATTACTACCAGTGTATTGAAGGTGTTCAATATCTCTTAAAATGTCCAAGAGGTTTTTACTTCATTTTTACGGTTCAAAATTGTGGCAATCCTTCAGATTCTGACTGTCCCCTATTAAATACTACAACAGCACTTAATATCCTCAACAAAAAATCATAACAAACTTAAAATCAACCGTAAATCAACGGTTTTAATTTCCTATATAATTGATTTTTTTTTTGTAAATTTTTACTTTAAATAATGTTTTTTCAAGTTATGAGTTTGCGTCTGTAAAAAACGTTTTTAAACTTTTTAAATAATTATTATTTCAAATATTAAAAACTTGCAAATATTAACTCAACTTAAAAAATCTTTTGAATTTATAAAATAATCTTCCTCCTATTTCTAAGCATCATTTGCTTAGAGATTATAAATAAATTTGCAAGACATTTTAACATTTTTAAACCGTGTTTTTTTTTTCATTTTATAAATTTTTAAATATTTTATTAAGTTTTTATTGAATATGAAATACAATTTTAAACTTAGATATTACAAATAATTTTCAAAAAAAAAATTAAATTAAATAAAAATAAAAGTTTAATAAAAATTGATATTTTGTAAAAATGGTAAAAGATAGTTTAAAAATTATGAACGAAAAAAATATTTCACATTGAATAAATTTCGCGATTAAAAAATTATTTATTTTCGTTATATATTTTTAATAGGAAATGCTTAACTTAAAACTAAAATTTTTTTCCACTGTACCTACCTATTTTCTAATTTTTCAAAAGAAAAATATTAATCAATACAAAGTTCACTATTATTTTTTGAAAAATATTACGAAATGATCTCGATATCCTAGTAGTTTAATATGAATACTATTTGCCTGACATTTGTCACTTTGCTGGCATTTTTGAATAACTTTTCGATGTACACATTTATGGAATTCCTAGATGTAATGGATGAAAAAGTTAAACACTTCTGTTTTGCTAGAAACAAAATAAATAAACCAAAAAAATCTCGTTTGATTTATCGTGTTTTATTTTATTTCCAAGTATATTCAACTTACTGTTTAGATATTATCAAAATTTTTCCTGCCTTTGTCACTTTACATCTTACGTTTTGATCTCTTGCAATCCATTGATGTTTTGTTGATAGCTTTAACACTTACGATTTTGTGAATGACGACTTTTTTAATTATTTTTTTTTTGAATTTCTTCAAAAATATTCATCACATTTTTCCACAGTACAAAAAACACAATTTTAAGAGAATTTTAATTCTGTTGGAGAAATAGAAAATATTTATTTTGAATATTAATTGTTTTATTTCTCAAAATTCATTTTCTTTTATAAAAACTTTATTTTATGTTTAAAATATTAAAATTTAAAAAAAATGAATAAAGTTAAAAATTCAATAAAGTTTTCACTTAACAAAATAACTTTTTAAAACTTTGCTAATAAAAAAAATCTTATGTTTACCCAAAATATTACAATATTAAATATTAGCTTACCTTTCCTGATTTGTCGGTATTTTACAGATTTTCCAATTTTGTTTTCTTTTTAATTTAAACTTTGCTTCCAATTATTTTTTTTTTATTTTTAAATAACTTTTAACGGTTTAAAAAATTCAGTTTTGTCTCTTTTTAGCACTTTCACTTACACAACTCACTTAGTATTAGAAATTTTATATTTTTTTAACCTTAATTTTTTGTTATTATTAAACTTCAATCTTCATTTAGCGTCGGTTCTTTCCTTTTCCAGTAAGTTGTGTATTATTTGGTCTTTCCAATCTTCTTCTATCATTTTGTCTTTGAATATTCGGATCTATTCTGGGTGCATTTCTTGGTGGATACTGACCAAATGGCATGTTTGGCATTTCTTGCATTGAAGGTGGTGTAATGACTGGCTGTTGCCATGGTGAAACAGTGTTCATATTGTGCATTGGCAAAGGTTGATTATAAAATGGTTGTTGAACCATCATATTAGGCATTTGGTATTGCATTTCATTATTCATAGGCATATCCCATGATTCTTTGGTTGGTGGTTGTTGTACTGGCATTTCCCAGCTTGATGTTTGCATAAAACTTGTCATTAGTGAGCTCATAAGTTCATTGGCAACAGCACCTGTATTTGAAAGTGTGGGATTTATTGGTTGTGGCTTTAGATCAATATTTACTGTTGCATTCATTGACTTGACAATTTCTGTGTCTTCATACTCATCATCAGATAAGACTTGTGCTTTTTCTGGTGACTTTCTGAATAAATTCTTATTAGTGTCCATTGGTAAATCTGTTTTGACTTCTTCATGTTCATATTCACTTTCAATATCGTCATCTCCAATATCAACATATTTTCTCAATCGTTCAACTCTTTGCCGATCAGTATTTTCAATTTTTGATAGATATGTTATCAAATGATTTTGTTCATCGCATGTCAAGTCTGAAAAGTTTCTTAAAAGTGTCTTTAAGTCATCGTCCGTTAAATTTTCTAGTTCTGTAAAAGTATCGTCTTTGTCTGATCTTCGAGTGTCAATAGTTTTAGACTCAAAAGATTTTGATGGTTGAGGTGACAATGTTGGTGTTGTTGGTCGACTTTCTTGTGGCGCTGGATCCTCATCTTTGGCTGTCTCGAGTCCTTCTTGTATAAAAGCTTCAATCATTTCCTCCAATTCTTCAGGAGTTATATCATCTCTACCTTGTTCTATTAAAGATTGTGTCAGGACTCTAGCAATTTCAAGTCTTGCAGCTTCATTCACATCTTCTCTTTTAGTTGGTTCAGACATTTTTACTGGCACTTGAACTGGCATTGCTTGTTTCTTCTTGTTTGTTTCATAAATTAATGATGCAATTTGTTGAATTGCACGCTTGACTGCTGGAATTTTATGTGAAGCAACAAGATTAGCACTTAAACCTCCCTTCAGACGTTCTTTAACAGTCTCCATAAGAATCATGTTGTCATTTTCAAAAAGTAAATTGTCACATGAATTTGCTTCTGCCTTTTCCATTCCAATAGCTTTTGTCAACAAGCAAATCACTCGTTCCGCTAATATTCCAATGTCACTTTCAAGTGCTGACAGGAGACGACAAACTGATACCAAATTAATTTCACCATCTTTACAATAAATGTCAGGTGAAGGCGAACGACGAATGTCACGGAAGTTTGAAGCAGATCTATAGCTATTTGGACTGTCTGAGATTCTGCTATGAGATCTATCTTCATCGTATCTAAATCGTTTACGCTCGTATCTTGAAGACTTTCTATAATTTTCACCATCACTTTCGTCCGAAATTTCAATTGGTGATCTGGACTTCCGAACACGTCGAAGTGGTGATCTACGTGCTGGTGAGCGAGAACGACGACTTGTTCGATTTTTTGGTGATCGAGTTCTAATATTTGGACTCTTTGAGCGATGATGAACTGGTGATTTTGACCGAGAACGTGACCGATTAGGTTCAGCTTCAATTTTAGTCACAAATTCTTGTGTCAAATTCAATTTTCGTCGAATTTCATTTTTCTTAGATTTTATGTCATCTGCATGAAGTTCCTTCATACGATTCATCCAAAACAGAATCCATTCTTGTTTATAATCATGACTGTTGGCATCTCTTCCTTGAGACATTAACTCTTTGTAACGACGACTCCAAAATCCTTTCCATTCTTCAGAGTACTTTGGATGTTTTTCTGGATTTTTGTTATATTCAATAAATTTTTTCTCTAAACCTTCTATTGCGATTGACACCGTAGCTTTATACTTTTCAATTGTGTACTTTTCCTGCATTTTGGCATTTGACTGTTCGGAAAGTTCTCGTGGTGTTAGAATTTTCTTGACTTCGGCTTTTTGTGGAAGTTCCGTCGTTTTTGAAGACATTGCGAGTTCTTTTAAGCTAAATCGTACAAAAAATAAATAAAAAAGTTTGTTTTGAAATTTATTTTTTATTTTGTGACTTATAATATTATTTTTTTAATTTACGGACACACATAACTGCAAGGATCGAATAAACAGTGCAGTTTTTGGGGCACCATACTTACCTGAATTTAAACTTTAATATTTTTATTTCAGAGTTTTTAAATACTTACCATATTAAAAATAAACATAGTTTTACAAAAATAAAATTAAGACTAATTTGGGACGAATTTAAGAAAAAATTTAAAGCAGTGTTGATACCTAGTACTTGACTTAATCGTAGGCAATTTGAAATCAAAGACAGAATCCTTTCTTTACCTTTGTCTTTATTGTGTCGTTATAAAGGCATGACTTTGCTTGATCAAAGGCAAAATCTGGACAAAGGCAACTTTGTAACAACACTGATTTAAAGTGAAAAAATGTTTTTTGTTTTGAATTGCAGATCTTTTAGGATTATTTGAACATTTTAATACAAAGTAGAAATTCAAAAAGTCAAGTAGAAATTAGAAAATTCTCACGAACTGTAGTTGTGTGCGGTTTCGGACCAAGATTGTCCACCCACAATTTTTTTATGGGATAAACCACATCACCTTCCTCACATACATTTTTAATAATTTTTATAATATGACGATCACAAAATGTTTAAAATTAATTTCTTTTCTTACCTTTTCTCATTGGATTTTTCTGGTCGTGCATCAGCAAACTTAAAAGAACTTTTCTTTTTATCTGACGTAACAAAATCTCGAGATTTTTCATTATATTCTTCAAAATCAGAATCAGATCCTGATGACACGTCATCAAGAAGATCATTTGTTTTTGTATTAACAAAGAAAATCTTGTCAGCATCTGGAAAGTCGCTCTCGTCAAAATGTTTTAAATTTTTAATTTCTTCGGTAATTTCATTTTTACTAATTTCATATTTTTTATAGTCATGAACTGTTGGTTTTTGCCTTTTTGACTGTTCCTCAATTGATTTTGCTATTTTTGTAAGAACTTCCTCGCGATAAGACATGTCAGTGTTGAATCGTGACTCTCGATTGAGAATGTTCATAATTTTTGGAAAATGTAGATCCTGTTGTGAATTATTTTGGGAAAATAAAAATAATTAGAAATTATTTGAAAAATATTGGGTAGTCAACTTATCAATACTAAAGATTCTAAATAGTTCTTAAGAATTGAATAGAATGACTACACGATGATTAACATTAGATGCATATTCTAACCCACATATTAATCACTTTTTGATCACTTTAACACTTTATATCGTCAAAAATCACTCAATTTATGTTTTTAAAAAGAAAATTAATTGAATTTTAAATTTTTTGTGAATTTTAATATTTTTTGGAATATTTTAATTATCAAATATTTTTAAAGTTTAATTTAAAACTTAAACAAAATTTCATTTTTAATGTATTACCGTTCACGTAAAAAACCACTTTGAAAGATAAGTTTTTTTTTCAATTTCACCATAAATATTCTTCGTCGTAATACAATCTAATGAGCTCATAAATAGACACAAGTTACGCTTTTTCTGACAACGATAAATCGAAATATTGATAAGAAAAAATAATAATTGTAAGCTTTGGTTTTATATTCAAATGAAAAATGATGCACGAAATTAAAATTTAAAATGTTTAAAAGTTATGAATTTAAAGAATTAGAAATTGAATTATTGCAATTAATGCTTAATGTGATTAAAAAAGTTTATTATTCAACATATTTTTAGTGGTTAAGTAAGAATTTTATAAAACCTATTTCCCGGTTTTTTGAGTATATTCTGGGAAAACACTTAAAGCTAATTGGTCTCGGTTATATCCTTTTAAACTGGACCTCAAAAGCAATTTCGTAATTGTGAGTTTTTAAAATCCTCTATTTAAAACTTTAATCTGTCTTAATTATTTGAATAATTTGAAAATGTTTCATATTAAATAATACATTGTTTACAGCTATGCTTAATCACTGATATTCGAGAATATCAAACAAGCTAACAAACATTTTATAATTATTGGTTAATCACTTTGTTGTATATCACTTGTTATGTTTAATCAACTAAGTTATCACTAATCATGATCAATTCTGATTCATTTTGCTTAATTATGCTGATTTGAATATCCAATTTTACAAACCTTATTTTCATCAAATCAGATCATTTAAATAAAATTTTACACTTCATTTAAAGCCCCGAAAAAAGAATCACACAAAAAAAACTTAATTAAATGTTTCATTTACCAAATATTTCATCCTGTGACGATGCGATGTAATTTGAGGAATAATATTTCTAGGATCACATCTTTTGTCGCATAATGTGCATACATAGAGTGCTTCCTTTGCCTTTAAATCATGTAGCTCTAGAATGTATTCAAGTCCAATTAATGGCTTTTCTATTTTTTCAATTATCGCGTCCATTTGACAAATTGGTTTCATTTCGTCCTCAAATCCGGGTGGAATTGGCTCTCCTGGAAATATTATTTGAGTATCTAAAATGAAGTAAAAATAATGTTAAAAATTATGTTTTATAAAAAAAGCAAAAATTTTCAACTTACTTTTTCCTGTTCCAATGAATGATCGAAATAGAACAGCTTCAGGAGTGTAATTATAAAGAAGACGGTTCTGATGCTTTTTTCCTGTTATGTGCGTCTGCAATGCTTTTTCTCCTGGCAAGTTGGGAACACCGCAAAGATGACAATTGTAAGTAAAGTAACCAGCCGGACCACGTGAATTTCTTGAGAAAATTTTTTCATATGATCCATCGGAAAGCTTCTTAGTTTGAGTCAGGATGTGCTTCTCGGTATCAATCTCTACCTAAAATGAAAAGTTTAAAGTAAATTATTTTAAAATTATCATTGCACTGCAAATCATGGTTATATGTGGCTATTTTTGCTATGGCTGAATATATATATAAATAAAAGACATCAAGGTTGATCTCATAAACCTTAAAAAACACTGATAATTCGAGATATTCCTTTTATTCAATGAAATGCTCATTTAATTCAAAGAATTTAAATTATCAACTAATAAATTAGATTTTTAAAACATTTTTACCACGTTTTTCTTATTTTTTCGCATATTCTAAATTGAATCACGCATGAAATTGTTTTGGCACTAATAATACAAAACAGTTGAAAAATATTAATAGGAATTCATGACGTTTTTCAGGAATTTAATATTGAACTTAATTTATATTATGCTGTATTTCACCATAAAAGTAATTTAATTTTTGATTAATAATATTGTATTTTTGTGATGCAACATCAACAATGATTATCATAAGATTAATTCATATGATGCATTTGGGGTTCATTCACTTATAATCATTCACTAAGTCTAGCACTAAGTAAAGAAAAGTCTTGCATACAAAGTATACTCGATCATACGCTCTTTTTATTGTTCAAATTATAGATTCAAATTTTCTAACGGTCAGTAAGTTTTTGAAAGCTTCCGGCCAAAAGATACACAAAAAATTATTACTTATAATATATTTATCAATTTAATATCTTTCATTTTCCTATATAAATTGTATATCATTTAACGGTTTTCTGAAGTTCAAATTTTGTAACGGTCGTATGCATTTGAAAGTATCTTGCCAAAAGTTACAGTAAAAGCATTAATTATAGTACAAATAACAGTCTGTTGCAAAAAAATTTCACATAAAAAGGCTTTGTAATTTAACGGTTTTTTGAGATTCAAAATTTTTCAACGGTAGAAATAAATTCGAATTTCTAAACGCTCTCATCACGTGTTTTTTCATATGAAATATAAAAATTATTAATTATAGCAAATTATAGTACAAGTGAAAGTGCCACAAGGAGCAGTGCTTTCACCAACGCTCTACAACATCTTCACGTATGATGTTGTAAGAGAGACAACCAACAACATCGGTCTTTTCGCAGATGATACAGCACTGTATCATTCTGCAGAGAACTCGGCCGATATTGTGACACATCTACAGGACACAGGAAGAAAAGTTCAACAATACATGAACAAATGGAAGATCAACCTCAACAAACAGAAGACTCATGCCTTATTCATCACAAACAGGCACTCCAGGCAACTTCCAGGAAATAACATCAAATTTCTCAATGAAAACATCAAATGGGAAACAGAAGCTAAATATCTGGGAATGGTGATCGACAAGAGAGTGACATTAAAGCCGCATGTGGAGTATGTGACCAATAGGGCTCACACCGCATTAAGACAACTTTATCCGCTCATCAGCAGGAACTCACAACTCGACGTACGAAACAAACTTCTCATCTACAAGCTAGCCATCAGACCAATATTCACATATGGTTGTCCAGCGTTTGGAAGCATGGCAAAAACCCACCTTCAAAAACTTCAAATACTGCAAAACAAATTCTTGAGAATTGTTCTCAATAAAACAAGATATGAAAGGATCACCGATCTTCATACAGAAGCGAAAAAACCGTCCATCGAAGACTACGTCGGAAAGTTGCAAGCGAACTTCAACAGTCGTCTTGCATCTCAAAACACCGAATAAATCAAATGAAATACAAAAGAAAGTAAAATCCGTAAATAAAATCAAAAATTAAGAGACAAAAGGCAAATTGAATGCCTGAAACCTTAAAAAACAAAAAGCAACAAAATGTATAGAAACTTTGTACATACTTAAATTTCAATGTAAATAAAAAAAAGTTTAAAAAAATATATATATAGCACAAAAACACTGTTTTAAGACTTTTAAATGCTGTTCCGGAAAATAAAACAATGGACCTGAGCTAATAAAACAAACCAGAACTCTCTACGATGTCTAGTTACAAAGTTTTTCTCCGCCCGAACGAACGACAAAAACAAGTTCGAAACAAGTATCAAAAATGCGCTAAAAAGAGAGAGAGGACTGAAAATTTATATTTTACTGGATGACATAGAGGAACGATCGCAATTATTTTAATTGTGTGAAGAAAGTCAAGACTCAATTGTATTATATTCCATCTATGATGTTTACACTAACAGTGCAAGTTTTCTATATATAACAACTCCAAAATCGACATCCATTTGTTGCATTCGATTAAACGAAGTTGTTAAATAAATTCTATTTCAAATCGTGAACAATTTCAGTATTTTTGAATTTGCAAGAAAATCTGCTCAGAAATTTCTCGAATACTAAATTATAACTTAATGCTGACTAATGCTCAACATAATTAAATCAATTCTGAGAACCTTAACAAGAATAATTTCACAATTACAACTATTATGTTTTTCCCACAAAATTATAACATAATTTCCTATTCGGGATTCCTAAACAAAATCACATGGGGATTTTTTTTCTTATCAAATAAATCCACTCATAAAATTTAAATAAAAATGGAATTCTTGAGAATAATAACATCAGAGATATGTACACTTGGCAAAGGCACCTGATTAATCTCCATGTTCAGGCTAAACCATCCTCTTCTCTTTGGGAAGATTCATTTATTTATCCTTCTGTCCTTACAAACTTAAAAACTATTTTCATTTCTTACTTTTGACTTGCTTAAAGACATTTTAAAAATCAATTGACTAAACTGAGTTTCCTTAAGGCTCACAATCTTACTACAGAAACTTTCTTGAAACATAAGAATTCATGCAAAACTTTTGGATTCTCAAAAACAGAAATTCATCCTTAATTCAAGTTAAAGTGTTTTTGTATTATGCATTAAAAATTTATGAATTCCCGACGCTACTGAATATCTCACAACTCACAAACACTTTTACAAATAATACTATTAAAAGAATTGTAGTATAAAATATGGTGAAATTCATTTATAAGGTTCAAAAAAAATTATTATCGCTTTAAGCCAATAATAATTGCTTTTTGTCCTGAATATATCACTTACTTGCTGCATTGTTGAGTTATTTCTTATTTTATATACTTTTTTGTAATTTTTAAATAATTTTTAGGAATTTTGTTTCAATTAAAATGACATTTAACATAGATTTTACATTTCTTTTAAATGTATTTTAACTTAATTATTTTTTTTGATTATTTTTTATTATTTAAATTCACTTAAATCACAATATTTCTGGTTTTTACAAATAAATGTTTTATAAATTTTTTTAATGGCGACCGAGAATTGATTAAAACACGTTTAAGTCTCTCTGTGTCTAAAGTTGAAATGAAATGAATGTGAAAAATGAGAAACGAGAGAGAAAACATTCATTGTAAATTGAGAAAGATGTTTTTCTTTATTATTCTCAAAAAAAAGTTTTTAAAAATAAAGATCATTTTATTATTTTCTATTCCTTCCCAGATTAATCTTGTTGCATCTTAGAAATAATGAAAATTAGCGTAATTTTAAACATTAAAAAATGGTGAGTAAATAGATTTTTTAACAAATATTAAAATTATTTTATTTATTATTTTTATTGTTATTATTTGTTTATTTAATTCTTTAGTTTGCAAAGAAGAAGCCATTCTAAACAGTTTTAACAGTAAATCGGCATAAAAACCTTTAGATCTTAAAAGTTATTAACAAAAGATTTGTAAATATGAAATTCAGCGATTTAAAAAAATTATTTATTTTGAACAAAATTTATTAAATGCAATGAATTTCTCTTTTGACTAAAAAATTGTCTCTTAGCTCTTTTTCTCATACAAAAAAAAAACGAGATTTTACTCTTTCTGATCCTAATACAATTTTAAAAAAGCACAATTCGATGATGTTTCGAAAAAATTATAACAATTGTTATCATGGAACTGAAATGTGTTATTTTTTAAGAAAGTACAACCTTTTATAACCACGTAAGGAAAGCCAACTGCTCCTTTTTTTAGAAAACCTTTTCCAGTTCAGGATATTAAGGACCTTTGAATTTTTGAAAATCTAAATAATTATTGTATCGGGTTAAAACCCAACGCGGATAAATTCACAACGTTCTATCGAAAGTTTCGTCGATAAACTAAGCTTATTCTTGAAGGTTTAAAACTTGACTAAAAGATGAAATATTCTTAATTTATTTTATTTTCGATTTGAAAAAAAAAATCTTAAAAAAGGAAAATACTTTTTTGCTTTTTAGATATAATATTGCTAATTCTCAGAAACTGGTGAATTGGAAATCCTGATGATTGACCATCAAATGATAAGCTTCTAGAGAAAGCAGGTCAAGAACACATCAACAAAGAGATTCAGATGAGGAAGTACGGCTGAATTGGACATACACTTCGTAAGAAAATTGCCAGAGAGGATGTCATTGCTGGGACAGAAACACAAGTTTGTTATACCGCCCTTGGATGGAATCCGCAAGTGAAAAGACGCCCAGGAGCTCCAAAAGCTTTTTGTGGCAGACAATAATGAAACGATGGAACCAGAACTCGACTGATGACTGCAGCTGGATTTTTGGGTGCAGAAACAGTTCTGAATTCAATCAATTTTTATGGCAATTCAAAGATTTTTCCAAGATATATAGATGAGCTCATACAGAGTATACTTGACCATACTCGACCATACTATTTTTTGTGTACTTATACAAACAAAAATTTTTAAAATTTTCTATTTACAAGTTTTCATTTAAATATCGACAGATGCAACAACATTTGTCTTAAGTCAGTTTCTTTAAATTATAGCAAAGCATTTGCAATACTCCTGTATCAACAAAACTTAACAGAAAGTTGAAAATTTTGCAAAACAAAAATTCAGGCAAAAATTGAAAATTTTCTTTTATAGTGTTAGTGTTTTTAGAAAATTCAAATTTTTGACGTTTAAAAACTGCGATATTTTTGTATGAGCACATCTATATATCTTGGATTTTTCAATCGAAGGATGTACATTCTCGATAAATCCAGTTAAAAAGGACCTTGAAGTCCGTTTTGCTAAGTCTAATGTCCAACTGAGCTCACCAATCAACATATTGAAATTGAAGTCTCTTTCTTATAATCGCTTTTTCCCGTCAGAACGGATGATGGAGATAATAATCGAATGTGATACAAACGAAGTGCTGAACAAAGTTGATGGAATCATATTAAATTATAAACATGCAACGAGAATGCTAAGCGAAAATATCTATAACTCAACGTTTCAACAGAATGGAGTTTCAAGTTTACAAGAGTCTTTTTTGATGAACGTATAATCATCAAAAATATGATAACGAACGGCTTGGATCTCAATAACATCAGGAACTCATTTATTTAAAATCCTCAAGAATTGAGTAAATTGGATTATACTAAGGAATTCTTTTTTATTTTTTTCATACAAGCTATTAGAATGAGTTAGCATTTATAATTCATTCATTGTATTTTTTTTAACTATAGTTTGTTAATAATGAATTATATACCAATAAAAGCATAGTCTTTTAAAATGAAAAAAAAAAAAAATATGCCAGCTTAATGTGCAGACAGAGAAGTTGTACAAACTAGATGACAGAGCCAGCAACAGGGTCAGATGGAAAGACTTTTGTTATAACCTAAGCTCCACATAGAACAAGTTAAGCAAACTTGAATTGAAAATAATTTTAGTCATTCTTCTTCGATTCCACTCCAAATTCAAAAATCCTGATTTTTAAACTTGATCTTTACTTGAACAAAAACAAAACATTTACACATTTGTATAGTGTGAATATAAAAATTGCTTTCAACTATCAAAAATATAGACATTTTTATTTAAAATTCAAACATGCTGCATTACTTTTATTAAATTTTTTCTTACAACAATTTCATTACACTTCAAAAAATATATTTAATATTTTGATAGATACAAAATGTGCCACTAAGTTTAGTCGTTTTGAATCCAACTCATCAGTTTTTTTTTGTGAGCTGAAGTGGCTCGGTGGCGGAATGGTATAGTACTTCGATACCTAATTATTGCAATACCGACACAGCGATCATGGGTTCGAGACTGGGCATGAGAAATTTTTTACTTGTCCTTTTTCGAATCATATGTACTTGAAATGAAGCTCACAGCCTTCCCTTGTAGGCTACAGGCTACAGGCTGTAATGTCATCAAAGGAGTGGTTCGGATCCCACTATAAATTGTAGATCTAGGTTTGAGTTAAACTCTCATTAGCTGCGAAACGCCCTAGCGCACCTCTGGATCACCATTGATCTGAATAAGTAAAGGTTTTTCTTTTCATCAGTATTTTACATAAAATGATGATCTTGAGGATCTGGGCTTACCTACAACTTAATAAAATTCTAAGGATCATTGTAGTCATTTGATTCAATTTATTTTATGTGATATTTTATATGACGAGTTTTCTGTTACGTCATTTATAAATCCTACCTTGATTCTATATCACAAGTCGTTTCCATGGACATAAAATTAAATGTTTACTTTTTAGAATTTTTCAAATACAATTCCTTCAAAATATTAAATTTAACTTAAGTTTTAAGACCATGGATCCTAGCAAAATGCAAGGGAAAATGTGAGAAAATTTCAATTTTAATATTTAAATAAATTAGTTGTAAAATATTTTTTTGACTAGTCGCGAGCAGATGAAGCGTGAGATAAAAGCTAGAATTGATAGCGAGAAGAAATGGAGCTTTATGGCTAAGTCAGAAAACAATAAGCACTATAGTCAACCATACCTAAATGCAAAAATTGCTGAAAGATTCTCACAAAATGCAAAAAGTAAATAAGAAAGGAACATTTTTCAATAATTTTGGTGAAAAGTTCAATTGACTAATTACAACAAAAAAAAAGGAAAATTTTTTTGATTTATATTTGATATTGCAAAAACTTACTTTAAAATTGTAATAATATTTTAAATTATTTCCAGTGCGAAAAGACTCGTCGGTAACCCCACCGACTCAAATGACAGATACCGAATGCAGTCATGGAGAATCTTACTTCGTTTCTCCGGTTATGTACGAGTCTCTCAATGTCTGTCGATGTGGGAGAAAAAACGAAGGCATTCATCTCATTAAATGTCTCCAAAAGTGTGTTATAAAGTATTCTGATGGTGAAATTTCAACAGGATCTTCTCCAATTGGAGAAGACATTGAACCAAACATTCCGAGAACATCAAATGGACTTCCTGGATTTTTTACATCTAAATATGCACATTTGGAAAGATCAACGTTCTATGTAACTCCTAAAGTTCATCTTAAACATAAGATTACTGATAACATTTACAATAATATTATTATTGGATAAATATAAGTCATTGCTCAAAAATTTGTCATTTTCAGATATTTTTGGATCTTTATTTGTAAAGCTCTGCATATGGTCCAGTCAAATAAAGATTAAGTATTTTAAGCTTCATTTGGCTTCTAGTACTTTTATTTAAACAAATATCGGTCTTTCTTGTAACTTTTATTTTTTTTTGCCAAACCTCATTGCATTACTAGTTCACTTCTTTCTATTACTTTTCAATTCTACTCATAACAAAATTTGATTTAAAACTGTTAGGTTAATATCAAGATAATTTTCTTATTGTTCCGCCAAAAATGTTCCATCAATTAAAATAAAGGATTGTTATTATTATTGGCTTCTAGTGGCTTTGTCACTGCGATTATGAGATGAAACACCAAAGGTCATAAGCTCTAGAACAGAAAGTTGAAAAGGAGTAGTTCACATATATTGGCATTCTGCCAGTTCCAATGCCAAAGCCCGATTGCTTAATAGTCTGAGCATTTGACCGGTAATCGAGAGGTTTAAGGTTCGATTCCTGACGAACCATTGTGAGAATTTTTTTTTCTTTAATCTCAAGCATTTATGATTCAAACCGACGACGGTCAAGTCATAAAACCTAATCTAATCTAGAATCTTGCGGACAAATTGATATAAACTTGACTATTTATATTTATTTGAATTTCTAAACTTAAAGTTTTAAAGTTTAAAACGAAGATCAAAGACGTGTCCTTGCATAGAATAAGTTCGACTTTTTAACTTGTTTATTGAATTCGCCAACTGAGACATAAATTGAAAAATGAGAAAATATATTTTTTGCAGATATCAGTTCACATTATCAGTTTGAATGCTCAGTCGATGTTTTGTGTTTCTTTTGTGAAGACTGAAAAATATTTTTCTTTATAGTTACAATTTTTAAACTTTTTATTTAGAAAATGAGTAAGTATTATTATAAAGTGCAGTACTTTAGTAAATTTAAGGGGAGGTCTTTGTCTTAATATATTTTTATTTACGCAACATTAAGAGAAAAATTTGTTGTTTTGAAATGTAAAAAAGTCATAATATCGTAAATTTTATCTTATCAAAAAAAACAAATTCGGTCTTCAGATAAATAAAAAAATTGCATTTTATAAGTTAAATAAATTAGATTGAAAACTGGTGTTTTTGTTAGATAACAATGTTAATATTTTCATTATGGGCGTAAATATGTAAAAATTATGAATATTTTCCTTGAATTCAAAAATGTATTAAACAAATTATAAAATAATAATATTTGTGTCAATTAATTAATCATTTTTAGACTACAAATTAGGACAATCTCAATCGTATGATGCATCCAGAGATGCATATTTTTATTCATGCAATCTTTTGTAACAACTAATTTTTTATAATTATCACAATCTGATTCCTATAGAACGAGATATAAATCTAATTAAACACCTAAGATAAAAGCTAGTCAGAAACGGTTCTTATAAATTTTAGAATATCATTGACTGCCGGTTAGTTGAACAAATTACTCATTTTTGATTACTTACGCTAAATGACTCAGTTACTCACCACATTGGAAGCTTATCTTTGATTTTGTCTTATCTTTCTTCCCGTGTATTAATTTCTGTACATTACGTTAAGATAACGAATTAATTTCACAAGTTTCTGTAACTTTTTACTAGTGTCAGACAAATAAAAATCACATTAAGGATTAATCAATAAATTTATATGACTTAAATTAAACCAGAATCAGAGTTTAAACTTAATTTCATTTATTTCATAGATTACCATTGGATACCATCATCAGTTCATCAAGGTCTTCCATCTGGTAATGTTGTTTATGCTGGAAATGATTCAGATGGAAGCCCAATTTATGTAGGACGGTAAGTCTGAATCACCATAATTGTACAAAAACTCACTATCAGTTTATTAATGTATTATTCATGTGACTCTCCTAATAAATACTTTGTTATTCACAATACCAAAATACTTTAAAGTTTATTCAAAAATTAAAAATTAAAACAATATTCTAGTGCATTTCATGATGGTGATCAACTTCCAGCAAAAGTCATCCCTAGTAAACAATCTTGTTATGTTTCACATAATGGCTTGGAAATTTTCAAGTCCCATTTTGAGTATTTATCAGGAACAGGATTTTCATGGGTAGCATCATCAAATGGACATGCACCAAAAGGTGCAGTCATTGCTGGAAATACAGTAACGGGTGAGCCATTGGCAATTGGAAGAGCTCATCATGAAGGAAGTTTGACACCAGGAAAAGTAAGTAACGAAGATTTTAATCCGAGTAAGGTACGCACCCTTGGAAAGGATGTGATACTCTAATTGATTAAAATGACATTTATCATTTTATTCTTGATAATTTTAGATTCATAAAAGTCACGGATGCTTGTATTTACCGTTTGGTGGTGCCGAACAGTCAACATTGTATTATGAAGTTTTAGTCTGTCCTCAAAAAGGTAATTATTTTAAGGAGCAATCAACTTTTATGAATAATAAACATAAGGGGTCGTTCACTTATTACGTCATTACAACATTTAGGATTTAGGGGGAGGGAGAAGGTTCACGAAATTTGTGACATCCAATTTATTAATCAAGGAATTATAATTTTTTTGTGTCTTTGGTTGGACGTCATAAGGGGGCGACTTCTGTGATAGAGGGGAGGGAGGTGGGTCACGAAATTTGTAACATCCAATTTATTAATCAGGAAATTGTGTCTTCATGGGGGGAGGGGTTCGATATATGTGACAGTTTTGTGGCAGAGGGGGGGAGGGGGGGAGGGGGTCTAAAAAATTTCAAATTTTGATGCAAACCCCAAAAGCATTGTTTTATTAATTTAAATAAATTTTCTTAGCAAATTGGATATCAACATCAGCTCATGCTCCATTACCATCAAATGCTATTCATGCTGGAACTGATAGTGATGGAACTTCAATTTATGTAGGACGATGCTATCATGAAGGAGATTTGATTCCTGCTAAAGTATTGCCTAGCAAAAACATCGCATACGGTAAGTTTTATATTAAATATCAGAAAATGATCAAAAATAATCTTAAATCTTGTTGGTTCCTTCCTTAGTATCTTATAATGGTCAAGAGATTCCAAAACATAGTTACGAAGTTCTTTGTGGTGGAAATACGCAATGGGTCCCAAGTAGCGGTGGAGCACATCATCCAAATGCTGTTGCAGGAGGACATACAACATCTGGTGAACCTTTGTTTATTGGACGAGCTCCATGGATGGGAAGTGTAACATGTGGAAAAATTCATCCATCGCATCAAGTGCTTTATTTACCATACGGAGGAATGGAAGTTGCAGTTGGAAGCTATGATATCCTTATTGAATATTAAATCTTTTATTTGATGTGATTTTTTTTTTAAATTTGAAAACTAATTAAAAGAATTTATTCTGACTTTCGTAAACTTTTTCTATTTATTAAATTATAATTTTCTTAATGTTAATGACAAATTAAAACTTATTCCTAATCCCTGCAAAAAAATAATTTGCTTGAGTCAGTCACTGTAATCAGAACTAATCAATTTAAGCTACTGATCGTGTAGAAGCATTATTGTATTTGATAAAACTACTTCCATTGGCCTTCTGTGACTTTTCCACAATTTTCTTCATTTCATTGTCATCATCAAGCATTCCAGGAAAAATGAATTTTTCATCACATTTTGGACAATTTGAGTCGTCAGATTCTAAAAGTTTAATGACAGCACACTCATTGCAATAAATTGTTTTGCAGCACGGCATTGTAACTGGATTTCTGAAAATATCTTTACAAATGCTGCAAAATAGATTTTTTGTAATCTGAAAACTTTCAACTTCTTTACTGTAAACTTGTTGATTTGACTCTGTTTTGTTCCTCATTGACATTGGAATTCCTGTCATTTTCTTAGATTCTTTACGTGGAGCTTTCGGATCATATCTATAAGTTTGTTTTAATACTAAGGTGCAGTTGCGAATAAAATGTCCTGGAATGTGACATTTACGACAAATATAAGTTGATGGAGGAACTGAAAAATTATTGTTTTGAGGTTGGATTTGATAAGTTTGATAATCTAATGTACTTTGCATCATCATTGCAAAAATTTTATCTTCTTCAGTTCCTTTCATAGTCAGTAAATTTGTTGAAACTGGTGCAAATGTTTTGGTTGTGTTGATTGGAGCTGCTTGTGGAACTTCTTGAGAATAGTTTTTGATGAATTTCTTGGTTTTTCCTGATGGGTTGGCTGATGGAACTCTCATTACAATTACTGATGTATTTTTGGGTACTAAACAGTCATCTTCGATGTATTTTTCATTATTTGATGCATTTGAAATCTAAAAGAAAATTATTTTTTGTTAAAATATGATTAATTTGATTTCCTAATATACAACTTACCATTAAGTCAACATTTTCACTACGACCAAGTTTTCTTTGCTTGTAAATTTCCTTCTTAATGTCAGCGACTGAAATATAAATTCCGTCAAATAAAATTTGACTGAAAATGTTTTCGCTCTTGAACTTATATCTGATAGACATTTTTGTTATTTTATTAAAGTTTGTTCAGAATAAAAAAATATGATTTAAATGATTTTATTAAATTTTTTCTTTAAAACCGTTTACAATTTTTTTATTTCTTGGTCAAACTTGTTGATTCTCCTTCTGAATAAAAATGAATGATGAAAAACTTAATCAAAAATTCTCTTTTATTACAAATAAGTGTGCAGAATCTTATTGTTTTGGTTGTTGAGTACCTAAAGATAAAATTGAGAATCATTAATTATTATTATTATTTTTAAAATAAATTCTATAGAATTTAAAAAAGTTTCAGAAAATTTACATAAAAATGTAGTATTGAAAAATATAATTCATAAAATTGTGAAATCAACAAATAAATATCATATTTTATTGCATAAAAAGTTTAATTAAGCAATTAGCAGAGCACTTTGGTTTTGAAATTCAAACAACCAAAAAAGTGGCAAACTAATGATTCAAATCAGCAGTCTTATTCAAAAAAAAACTAAATGTGTTCCTAGATGGAGCTATTAAAGTTTTTATTTTAATTTTATTTCCTACCAATAGATGGCTCCACATGGTTTAAAAGCAGATATTTTCTATTGAAATATCTCTAAAAATAAAATTGGATTTTAACTTCCATTTGGAATTCAAAATTAGTTTAATAAGGGCTATTGTTAATATTTTAAACTAGACACTAGATCAAGGCAGGGAAGATTTCGGGGACAAATCCCCCTTCGTCATCTGAAATTTCTTCATTTTGTGGGAGTTTTTATGACAATTTTCAAATTCCTAGCTATGCTCCTGCATTAGATAGAAACTAAAGCAAAGAACGAAGATTTTGGAAGGAAATGATCGACTTTATTAATCAGTAACAAAACTAAAATATAAATTCGAGGATTTATAAAAATATCAAAGGTTAATGTTCATTAAAAGTATTATTAACAACTAAAACAATATAGTTAAAGTCATTTAATCAGTCATAGTCGTTTTGTTAAGATTTGTATTAATGAACTTATGACTTCATCTAATCTTAAAAATCCTTTTTAGATAATTCATGATGCTTAGTTGCTTCTTATACTGTCAATACTAAGTTAATCAAAAATATAAATTTAAATTTTTGCCTACAAGAAATTCTTTATTCAAAACTAATTGATGAAATGATCAAAATGATCAAATATGATAATAAATGATCCAAATGTAATTTTCAATTCCGCAACCTTGGTTTTTGGTTTTTTATTTATAATCTTGAGCTGCAGAAAATCTATAACTTTAAATTAATATTGCTAAATCGATAGTAAAATCAAACAATAAATTAAAAACACCGTTGCACTTACTCAATAGCAAAATCTTTCCAATTTCTTATATAAATATATCAACTACTGCTGTAGATTCAAGAGATCATTCAAGAGAGATTTTGAAAAATTATTTTAAAGAACTTCAATACTTTGGTGATTATCAGCTAAGGTTCTTTATTTTCTTCATTTTCCTGAAACTGTTTGTTAACATTTTTTAAGACTTATAAGCGACCGCAATAATTGTTATGAATTTTCCTATGCAGTAATTTTTTAAAAGATTAAAAATCATAAAAAAACCTATAATTTTCTTTAATATAATATTTATTTTAGTAATATTCTTATAAATTTCACAACTTTTCGACATTTCAACTAATTTCACAAGTAAATGTATTTCAATAAAAATGTTAAAATAAAAGTTTTAAATATTTTGTAAAATTATGAAATTCTATGACTCACCGGTATGAATATTTCCCAGTCACGACTGTTTTCTTCTCACTTCAAACTTAAAATGTTTACTTTCGTCAGCTGTATGAGCAATATTAAGCATTTTTAGTATCAGCTATTCTCTCATATTTTTCAATGTTTTTTGAGAGCTAATGTTTCACATTACATTCCATGAAAACATTTGATTTGGCATGAGTTTTTATTTATTGTGAATTTTATTTCATCTTTCGTTTTTTTTTCAACGAAACTTCTTGACTTTATTTGCAAAATTAATGGCACAAAATGATTGTTGTAATCGATAATGATTAAATAAGCTAAGCATGGATTGACAGAAAATGAATGAAATAATATTTAATGCAAACTTCAAGTTAAATTACAATTCGCATGATGATGACATTTCATAATATTCTCTAATGTCATTAAATAGTACGAAAAAAATGTGTTAATTGAAAATGTCAATAAAGTATTCAAATATTTGTATTAGAGCTTTTATTTGTCGTCCGTAAAAAAATGAGGAGATGCCAAAAATAAATATGATGTTAAAGATGGCCTTCAATCTTATTTGTGCGATTTCAGTTTATTAGAATAACGAAAACATGAGTTGGAATTTTTTTACTTAAAATATTAACATCACTTGATGATTTGACACAATTTTTTTAAAGCATAATTGGTCCGATATATATTTTAAAGATTCTGCACGTTTCATTAAGTAAATAAAATTTCCGCAATGTTTTATGAATGATATAAAGCTTTTCGGTAAAATTTAATATATTGAAGATTCACAAAACATCAAACTTCAAAGGTTTTAAAATATTCTAAACCAAGAACATACATAGGCATCTAGTTATCTAGTAGCTCATCTTCATTTGTTTAAACTTTAAAAGACATAAACAGAACACATTTTTACATCCATTACATCACGCAAAATCAATTCAAATATCTACAGGATTTATTTAGCAAAACTATGGCTTGTTTATTTTTGTTTTGTCAATATTTATAAATAGCATGGTTTTTACTATCAGTAGTAGTTTGTGATGTTCCGACTACTTCAAATCTATTCACCAAATGTATTAATATAATTTACATGGTTAAAAAAATAAACTTTAGCATTCAGACCTTAGAGATCCATAGCTGCGCGTTTTTTTGCGTTACAAGACTAATGATAGTTTTTAACGAAAGAGGGTTCGTTAGACCTCCCGCTCATACCTAGATCTACAGCTTACAGTGAGATCCAAACCACTCCTCTGATGACATTTCTGCATCCAGTACATATGATTTGAAAAAGGACAAGTGAAAAATTTTCCATACCCAGTCTCGAACCCATGGTCTTTGTGTCGGTGTTGCAATAACTAGCTACCAAAGTACTAAACCATTCCGCCACCGAGCCGCTTCAGCTCACTAATTTGCATGATTGGGTAATTCCATTAATGGAAAAAAATATTTCCTTCCTTAATTTTTCTTAATTATTTTTTAAACCAACTCCTTTTAATTCTATATTATAAACTTACACTATGCATTAATCTCTTTTTAAAGCAAATAAGTGCAATGCTGGTCGAATAGATGAGGCGCTTGGCTCAAATTTGTTTTGGTAACTCGAAGGTCGTCAGCTCGAATCCAGCCATTTCCGAATTTGTTCTTTTTTGGAAGTTTAGATATTTCGACTGCTTAATGTACGAGATCAAGTCATGACTGGTCACTTGGGCAACGTTGGATTGAGGAACGGATCAGGAACTTAAAGTGTAGTGCGAGAAATAGGAACGAAAACTACAAGATTACCTTAAATAGAATATTGTCAGAACGGACCTGAAATGTATTACGTCACGCCCACAGAAGATCGAAACGAGAGCCTGAATTTAATTGAAACCTAGATTTGAAGATTGGAAGCTTGATTCTACATGACTAGGGTTACCATCTAATTCTCATGAAAATACAGGACTTTTGGTAAATTTTTTCGAAAAATACAGGACACAGAGTAAAATTCGAAAATTAACGGAAATTTTCGTGAAAAAAATACAGGACCTGGAACAAAATTTTGAAATTTATACAGGACAGGGTTTTGAAATACAGGACTGTCCATTGTAAAACTACGCAGATGGTCACCCTATACATGACCCATAGTGATATAAAATGTATCACTAATCAATGTAAAAAGTAAATATGTACAAATACGAATTCTTCCGGACGTTAACATCGGCAAATAAATAAAAATAAAATCAGAAGAAGTTTACAAAAATATTTTTTTTTTAAAAATCTTCTTTTTACTCGTGGAATTGCTCTGAGGATTAACATTTCTTTCAAACATATTTTGAAGAAGAAAAAAATGTTATGACTTTAAAGGGTTAATGGTGATGTCAAAGATTAATGAGTTGATTAGTATTTAATTTTAATTCTGTAATTTTTTTAAATAAATGCTGAATTCCTCTCAAATCTTGTTGTTAAAAAGTAAAACAAATCCTGTTCGCATTAATAGGAAATAAGATAAATTCATTTTTGAAATTAGAATCTTAGAACTAACTTATATTTACTCAAAAAATAAAGTTCTGCGGAAATCTTATCTTTTTAAATAATTTCAAGTTGGGTAGGTTGTTGAACATTCAAGAAAAAATGTGAATATTTAAAACCAATTAAAATTCTTAATATTTAAGATGATGAAAAATTCACTTTCAAAAATCTTTAATGTGAAGCATCCTAATGAAATAAAAAAATCCCGTTTAACTAACGTTCTGATCAATTTGTGACGATCAAGTGACTGCACGGTTTTTTTGTTCCTTTCGTCTCTCAGTGTTCAATATTCAAACTTTTTTAACGAGATTAAAAGATAGAAAAAAATCTCCGAAATTAGCATTGCAAAATAATGACGTCGAATAGATGAGATTTAAACATATTATGCTTAGATTACAATAGATTTGAATAATATTTTTAGACGTCACTACTGAATACAACGTCAAATAAAAAAAAAATAAAAAGAATCCTTATTTAAATTAAAATATATTTAAAAATCAACTTTGTTAATGTCTTAAAGTTGAAGTTTCATGGTCACAGACAAATAGGAATTTTGCCAGAAATTTAAAACTTTTACAACCAATTTCTATGATTTTTTTTTTCATTGATGCGATCTGCGGGCATTGAAATTTCGCTCACGATTAACAATCAAATATTGACAGTCAATGCTTCTGCGAAGAAGCAGAAGAGAAAACGCTTGAGTGAGATTTTGTTTTGATTAATGGAGGCTGAAGTGAATTTCGAGTTCTCTTGCGGCCTTCTGTTGACAACATACTCATC